AGTAGGGCTCCTGAAAGGTTTGGTGGGTGGGCAAATTCATCCATTCTAGAAGATTGTGACTTTGATATCGAAGATAGGGATGGTCTACCGTTGATTTTGGAAGAAGGTGAACCTTCTTCATACAGGAAAGCTCAAGCTTCGGTCAATAAGCTTGAGTGGAATGCTGCTATGAAGCGGGAGATGGAATCTCTGATTGACAATAAGACTTGGGAGCTGGTTGAGCCTCCTACCAATCAAATGCTGATTGATTCCAAGTGGATGTACAAGCTTAAAGACAATCCAGGAGGAGACGAGGCAAAAATCTTCAAAGCTAGGTTGGTGGCTAGAGGTTTCACCCAAGAAAAGGGCGTGGACTATAACGAAGTTTTCTCACCGGTAGCTAAGTATGCTGCAATTCGTTTGGTATGTGCACTGGCTGCGATATTTGATCTTGTTATGGATCAGATGGATGTGGTTACAACTTTTCTCTATGGATATTCAGAGAAGGAGATCTACACGAGACAACATGTTGGTTTTGAGGTCAAAGGCAAAGAAGGGTTGGTTTGTAGATTATTGAAATCATTGTATGGATTGAAGCAAGCTCCTAGGCAGTAGAACACGCGATTTGATTAGTTCATGAAGGCACAAGGATTTTTTCGGAGCGTGTATGATCCTTGTATTTACATGAAGAAGGTAAATGATGAGACTTTCAATCTCATCATTTTAGTACTCTACGTTGACGATATGCTCATATTGGCGAAAAACCAATCTGATGTTGATGAATGCAAGAGTAAGTTGAAGTCTGCATTTAAGATGAAGGATATGGCGGAGTCAAAGAGAATATTAGGCATGGAGATACATAGAAATCATGAGCAAAAGAAACTATGGTTGAGTCAAGGCAAGTAAGTATGTTCGTCGTATACTTGACAGGTTCAACATGATGTATTCCAAAGGAGTATGGACTCCTTTGGCAACACATTTCAAACTCTCTGCAGCTCAATGTCATACAAATGCGGTGGAGAAAGGAAATATGTCATATGTTACCTATGAACAAGCTGTAGGCAGCCTCATGCATTTGATGGTGTGCATTAGGCTGGACATTGCTTTTGCGATGGGCAAGGTGAGCAGGTTCATGTCACTGGGAAAGTTCACTGGGAAGCAGTGAAATGGATTTTGAGATATTTGAAGAGTACTCTGGATTATGGCTTATTGTTTGATGGTCTATTAGACAATGCCAAATCCTTGTTTGGTCACGTTGATGCTGACTACGGACAAGATCTAGATAAAAGGAGATTTACAATTGGGTATGTATTTACACTTGGCGGTGGAAGCATTAGTTGGAGGTCTACCTTGCAGAAATGCGTAGCTCAGTCAACAACGGAAGCTGAATATGTGGCAGTAGCAGAAGCGGCAAAGGAAGCTATTTGGTTAGATAGGTTTATCATGGAAATTGGCCTAAAGCAGAGCGTGGTTTATCTTTATTGTGATAGCCAGAGCGCTTTACATTTGGCCGCAAACCAGGTCATGGATAGCAGAGTGAAGCGCATTGACATCAGGTATCATTTTATCAAACAAGCAGTGTTTGATAAAATGATTGAGCTAGTAAAAATTAACGGTAAACTCAATCCAGCTGATGCTTTGATCAAAGTTATTCCATTGGAGAGTTTCAGGCGACACTGTGCTACCATGCAAGTTGTGCATAGGGAGCACATGTAAACTTTGCTAGCATAGTAACTCTATTGACCTCTTTATGTTATTACTCTATCCTGTTATGGCTATGGTTTAGTTCTAGTTAACTCTCGTATAAAGAGGTGCCTTGTGATAGGCTTCTGTTTAGAACTTCCCGCTGAGTAACAATATAGATTTCAGAGGTTACTATTTCCTTAACACGAGTTAAAGGGGAGATTGTTGAGGTTAACTCCAGTTAAGGAGTAACCTCAGGCTCTAGCTATTTATAGCTATGTGTGTCACTGGATTTGGGTATAAATATATCCCCAAAGCCAAGGCTTCTTTGAGGAGCTGAAGTATTGTGTATTCACTTGTTAGTAGACCTGCTCACTGTTCCAGCGGTGGACGGAGCCCTCGAGGGTGAACCACGTTATATGAATGTCTTGTGTCTTCGTACTTGGCTTGAATGATTCTTGGTTTTAAGTTAACAAGACCTTTCTGTAAATACAAGCAACTTCATAGATTAACAAAATTGTTAGATTATTTTGTTAACAAGACACTAAACGCAATTTATTTACTTTCATGTTAGATTTGAAAAAAACGAGTAGTTAAACTTTTACTTCATTTATCTATTTACGAATATAGATTTGCTATTTATTGCAGCTAAAAATATATTTGAGATTTAAAAATTTAGATATATCAAATTAAAAATGTTATAGCAAGTTGCAAATATATAAAGTTTCAAAACCTAAGCTGAAGAGTTTTATAATATTGTATTTTTTTTTCTTAAAAAAATTAAAATATGAAAATCAAAGTGACTGAAAATACTACTTCAGCTCTTCATTTCAAAAACTCATTTATTCTTCAAAAAAATCAGAATGTCCAACAAGATTTTCAAAATTTTATAATAAAATTTTATTTTTTAATTATTTTTTATAAAGATATAATAAAAAATTGATGACTGATTATTATGTCAAACATGATGATGATTTTTATTATCATCAGCATGAAATTCAAATGAATAATAAATGATTGAATATAAAATTTTGCAGATATGAAACAAATAACCATATACATCAAGTCTACATTAACTTAAAATAAAGTTAAACTTAGAATATTATATTGAATTTGATGTTAAATTTTAGCATAACAATCAAATAGATGATTATGTAGATGTTAATTTGATGCTACATTAAATGAAAATCATAATTTGATAATTTTAAATTTAGAGATGAAGCTTATTTTTACATTGCAGATTTTATAGCTTAATCTATCAGTATTACCAAAAAAGTATACAAACACAAACTCATCAAAGAATACAATTTCAATATATATTTTCATATACATAAGTTTCATAGATTACGTGTGTTATTTTATTGTTACCATCATAATTTTTTACTACAAGATGTGAACTTATCAAAATTACGTGTTGTGTCTCATAGTAAATAAACTAGTGAAGTTTGATGATGCATTTACCAAAGATTTTTCTCGAAAACTAGTTCCAAAATTTAAGTAAGATTGCAAATATTACATATAATTATTCGTATATTAGATTCGAAATGATGATATTGATATAAATGTTAATAGTTATATCTTCTTTGGTATTTGGTTTAGTTTTAGCAAATTCAAAATCACAAATATTAATTAGAGATTTATGTAGATTTTTTACTTGAAAAATTCACGTATCTAACAAAATTATAAAAATTGAACAATCAAGGAAAATTTTGTTAATATTTTAAATGGATTCTTTACAATTTTGAAAATTTAATTTATTTCAATTTTAATCACTATTTTGATATAAATTTGATTTAAATCAATAATCAAATCTCACATTTGTTATAATTTCTGCTCAATACCATATAATAATATTTATGAAAAAATTTTGTGATAAATAAAAATTATTTCCAAAATAATTGCTTTTATAATTTTAAATTGTGTATATTGTAAATGGTAAAACTCGAGAAACACGAGACCAACATGAAACACAGAAAGAAAGAACGTAATTCAAACAGCACATCAGCAGCAAGTTGATACTAAGTTGAAAGTACAATTTACAATTTATAGTGCAATTTTTTCAAATAAAAAAACGTTCAAAAGACTTTTGATATATCTATTTTAATCAAAGTATATCCTTACAACTTATGTTTTGTATCAAACATATAATTTAAAAAAACATCTGATTAGTATTGAAAAATAAATGGCTGTCAAAAGTTAATACAAAGATGCAATTCCAATAAAGTATTTGAAAATCAATCTTGAATGTACAATTTGGATGATCACAAGAAGTTCATAAGATTTTTTATCCATCGATTTTAAAACATAAAAATTTACAATGTGAAATATGTGGTATGACTCAATTATAAGTTAAACAAGATTAGTTTTGAAGAAGATTTTGCTATCTGAAGATAATACAAATTTGTGCTGCTAGTGTGTCATCACAATCTTAAAAAATAAATGAAAAAACTTATTTTTACATAATGGAAAGGGTTTGAAGTAATCATCAATTACTAGATATGGATAGCATTAAAGGAAAATTTTCAATATAGTTGAGGGACTTACTTTAAATTTTCAATGATCATGTACGAGAAATCGGTGAAATTTAGTTGATTAAATCTTGGATATATCTTGAGCTGCAACATTCAATATGAAGTTGCTTATGGAAATTGCCATCAAATTATTCATGGGAGACACCGAGAAGAAGTTCCGAAGGTCCATTTTAAAGATAACCCAATCTATAAATAGGAACGTGAAAAAATGCTTCAGGACCACGGAACGATTAAGAAGTTGTACCGCGCTGTGACGTTACACTTCCAGATTGTACACTTACAAGAGGTATTCGTCGAGACTCACGAGGCGCAACAAGACATCCCTCATTCACGCATCGTGTACCAGGTTACCTCAATAATTCGAGGTCGAATGAACCGGCCGACTATTTGCACGCGCTCTTCAAGACCACGGCCGATCTCCTCATCACGAAGCGTACTGCGCATGCGCTGAGCTCACCGTCGTCCCTCGACAGAAATCAAGATCCCGCCGATCATCCGATACCTTCATGTCCTGGATATCATGACCCGTGCAACCGCAGCGGCAGGCAGGGACACGCGGGACGGATCATACCCATCGGGGGACATGTCCCGTAATGCGCCTCGTCCCCTACGTACTACACACACGGCGCACCGCGTAAAGTCCGTCAAGAACCCGGACCATCATGTTCCACAGCGGCGCAGGCTCGGGGACGGCGGTTCTTTGTCTGACCAGTCCATGAGTGCGCAGAGGAATGGCTGCAGGTCGGATCGGGTTTCTGCCGTAGATCTGGGATTTCGAATTCCCCGGAGAGTTTGAAATTCCCGTCGCACAACGGCGGAAGGATTCGAGGGCCGTTGAGGGCGAGGCTCGGTCTCCGGGGAGCGCTCAAGAACGCGCCCTCGGGGACTGCGGACTCTGATTTCTTAGCTGCCGCGCGAGTAGAAGAGACGAGGCCCAGCGCGTCGCCGAAGCATTTGTTGGTGGGCGAGCAGCAGCAGCGAGCCCCTCGTTGTCGTCGTCGGCGTCGTCGCGAGAGAGAGAGAGAGAGAGAGAGAGAGAGTTGTAGAGAGAGTTGGTTATGCGGACGAGAAGCCGTGTCGAGCGAGGCTCGCAGACCGTTATGCCGTGGCAGCAGATGCAGTGGAGGAATTTGCTCTTCGCATTGCTCAGCGAGATTTCCGCGACTTTGCTGCAACTGGACCTCGATATTTGACGCTCCCTCGTCTTCGTTCTGACGCGTGCGTGGACTATGGCGGGGCTCCGGTCAGATCGACTGTGAGGCATTTCCGTTCTATGAGGTGAGGCGGCTCGGTGATCCAAGACGAAGGCGATTTTGCTCCGAGCCCGCCCTTTGGGCAATGGGTGGAGAGTCGATCGATCAGTCTTGAAAATAGCTGTGCTCGTAAGTATTAAACTTTTTCAGCTCTGAGTTTGGTATCTCAGCCACTATGTCGGATGGACATTGTGGTTGAGTGATTTGGTGATTGGATTCTAATCGTTTACACTTCTAGGGGACCGACATCTGCCCATAGTCGTTCTGATGGTTGCGCTGGCGGAACCCGCCGCTCATGTTTGTGTGTAACTCAGCTGGCATGTTGTGATCAGGACTCAAGGGAAGCCCACGGAGAGTTTTTCGTCAGGCAATATTGGTAGAGAAGGTGTTTCCGTCGTATCTGAAGGATTGGGTGGATATTGGGGGAAGAGAATTCTGGCACCTGTACTTGGTTCACCCAGTTCTTCCTGTACGTGAAGCACATTTGACAACGTAGTGGGACAGTGATCAGTGAACTCTTGTAGTCGGATACGTTCCGGAAATTCTCTGATGAGATTCCAAATAAGATCTAAGAGTGCTTCTGGTAGCGAATCTTCTCCAAAGGCAATCTTCTTGCAAAAGAGACTCCTGCGGTGATATATTCAAGCAGCGCAGACATGTCATCATCAGCACCGGTCATAGGCACTCCTGTAGGGAGTCCTAAACATGGGACAAAGCCGGAAGATTTCCAGCATCCTCAGCAGGAACAGCTACCCGGCATCAAGTACTCGGTTAACGACAATCCTCCTTGGCGTACTTTCACTTACTCAGCCCCTCAGTTAAATCTATCCAGTAAAAAAATTAGGCAGAACAACGTGCTCTGGATGTGGTAATAAGAGTAAAATACTTCACAAAGAAGGCATATGAACGGATCTGCATGGTGTAATTCCATGATAAAGGGGTAATTTACAACGTGTCAAAACTTTGACTTAGACTTGGTTGCTGCGCTGATAAGACTCTGCAATGAACCCAGAATAATTGATCAGACCCATAGATTGATCAAAGAGCATCGCTATCAGCTAGTTCTTCGTATACATAAGAAGCTGAATACGAGCAATGGTACATCGGAGCTGGTGCTAAAGGTTGAATCTTATATTAAGCCTCGCCGTGAAATTTTTAAGTAGTCCACACAATGAACGTAAATCGATCCATGCAACCTTGCCAGGCTGAATTCAAACAAGACGAATGCACATTCATCGTAGTTGACTGTGCATTCGTCTTGGGAGAAATCCTTCAATATATGTGTGGATGGCAATGATCTGATCCCGAGATTAAGCTGGTGATTTTGATTTTGAGTGGACAATGAAGGACCAGTGTACTAAGTTTATGGCACTTACTGCAGCGGAGACGATTCTGTTGGCGTTCCAGCACTATCTCACCATGCTTGGCTCTACGGTCATGATCCCAAGCCTACTAGTTCCAATGATGGGTGGAAATAACGTAAGATACTCCAACCCGGGCCGCTGTCGAAGAACCTTCAAGTTTCTAAGCATTTTTGTTTTTCCCAAAACTGCAGTTAGACTTCCGTTGACGTATCATGATTTTCGCGTAAAGTCCTTTTTCAGACACAAGCAGAATGCATGAATCTGCGCCATTGTTATCAATCGTTTAGACATATGGAAGAGGAAGTGTGAACTTTTTTTGAGGAGATGAATATATTAAACATGCAAGAGAATTCTAGGGTGAAGTAAGAGGTTGACCGAAAGTTCAGGCACGACGAATTTGAGAAGCAGTTCCATGATAGTCGTCGTTTACATTTTTCTTTACTGTTAATTTTCTGAAACTAATATGAAAGTTCTGTACAGGTAGACAAGGCAAAAGTGATACAAACACTATTATTTGTTTCCGGACTCAACACTTTGCTTCAGACCACGTTTGGAACAAGGTTGCCTTCAGTCGTTGGCGGGTCATTTGCTTTTATTATACCTACCGTGACCGTCATCCATTCTCCGAAACTGATGGCAATTCAAGACAACCAGCTGGTAATGTAATCCTAGACTTTGTTTGACAACAGTGTGAAATTTTGTCTGACTGCTTAGTGTTTCGCCTAATTCTTTTACGAAATACCTTAAGTCAGTCCTAGTTCAAGAATGATGAAACTAAACTAGTCATGGATGAGACAGTTGATTGTATACTTAGTTAAATATGCAAGAATCTGCCATAGCAAAACGTATAATTTCAAACTTGTGAACAGAGCACCACGAAATACCCATTTCCAACTCTTGATGAACTTGCACTAACCCATGTATTTGTGGCATGGCGACAGAGGTTCATGCATAGTATGCGTGCGATTCAAGGAGCTCTTATATCTGCATCAAGTTTGCATATCGTTCTTGGTTTTAGTGGACTCTGGGGTATCATGACCAGGTATAACAACTTCTGAATACAAACATCTCATTTTGATAACGGAGAATGCTCTCCCCTCTCACATACATTTAAAGCTGTAACAAATTTCGATGATCTCATTCTTGCTTCATGTTGTCGCAGATACGTCAGTCCAATTGTAATCGCACCGACCATATGCATGGTTGGTCTCGGACTCTATGAGTATGGTTTTCCGGGGGTCAGTATCTAACGAACCCCTCACTTTAACTGTACTCTTTTATTGTATCTTATCTAGTAGACGAACCAACCTTCTAGAGAGATTGTGAAAGATCTGCGAAATGTATATGAAATTGAATCATTCAATGGCTGATTAAGTACTGCAATTTGCGCTCGAGCATTATCTGCAAACATATGATACTGATTGCGGACCTGGATTTCAGGTCGGAAAATGTGTGGAGATCGGCATTCCTACTATCTTCATCATTGTCATCTTTTCCCAGGTTGTACACCATGTCTCATCAATCATTCGTCTGAATATGAGGGGATAACTCCTCAGAAGGATAAATTGACCTAAATTTATGTTTTATGGTTGGGCCCTTCAGCGGTCCTTACTTTTCACGCTGAAATCGATTCGCTTCCTAATGCTAAGTGGGTTGTAACCGTGATTGGCTACAGTTTCTGAAGCATATAAGAGTGCGCGACATTCCTATTTTCGAGTTGTACCCTATCATACTGGGGGTAGCTGTTACATGGGCATACGCCCATTTGTTGACCGTAAGTGGAGCGTATACTCATGCCACTCCTATGGGTCAACGTCATTGCCGTACAGACCGTGCACACATAATTGGTTCTGCTCCTTGGTACGTCACCCACCCAAACAGCAAACCGACACCTGGATTTCGTGTCTGCGTAGGCCTAGCACAGATCTGTGGCCTTTTGTCATACAACAATTTAGAAAAAGGAAGCCGCTACGTTTGTAATATTGATTCTGTCATTTCGGGACTCCGTAATTTTGGTTCAAATGCAGGATACGCATACCTTGGCCGCTGCAATGGGGTGCTCCAACTTTTGATGCTGGACACACCTTTGGAATGATGGCGGGTGCTCTTGCTGCTCTCGTTGAGGTCGTCTTCTGCCATTCTACACTTGCAACTTTTTTTAAGCATATGTTGTCGATTCCTGTCTCTATAGAAAGCATCATTGCATGCGCTTATGTTCTTCACCCTTGTATGTGTTCATCTAATGCAGTCAACAGGTGACTTCTACGCTTTATCACGGCTTTGTGGTGCAACTCCTCCCCCGCCATACGTGGTCAGTCGTGGAATAGGTTGGGAGGTAAGATGCTTTTATATGCACTACAGCACCTTCTGGACGCCAGGGCAGCATGTATTATTTAGGGATTATCAAGTACTGCGCAGGAATGAGGCAATGAACTTCCAGTCTGATGTATTTTCCTGGTTGTTTAACAGGGTCTGGGGATTTTAATGGATGGAATGTTTGGAACAACAATTGGATCGGCAGTTTCTGCGTAAGTGTGATAGCATCAGAGAACCCTGGTGAAGATTTGAGTCATTATATTTCATTGCACCACTTGCTCACCGATGACTGCCCTTTTCTCATTTTGGATAGAAACCGTCTACGCAAACGTTGAGTTTCTATCCTAACTTGTAGCTTGAAACTTATTCATCCTAAAGTTGTGCTTCTGCATATATTGTGAGATAGCGATACGGTTCATTCAAATCTTTACGGCTGCAGCGGCCTTTGCATCTGTGTTATTTCAGGGAGAACATGGGAATAATTGGAGTTACCAAGGTTGGGAGCAGGCGAGTCGTGCAAATTTCAGCTGGATTTATGCTCTTTTTCTCCTTGTTGGGTTAGTCAATTGGCTACACCTTCCCTCCGAGTTTTCGAAAGACTAAACTAATCTTTGACAGCATTTGGTTTCCTGATGTACAAATTCTGACATTAAAGACACGTTAATTAAGAAATCAACTCACTAACGGAGTGCCATTCCAGGGAAGTTTGGCGGGATTTTTGCATCTATACCCGAACCGATGATTTCAGGGGTCTTCTGCGTAATGTTCGGAATTATAGGTACAAAAAAAGCCACAAGCCCGTCTATGTCCGATATAAGCTCCAAAAAATTGAAAATCCTCTATCAATTTTCTTCTCCTCAGTTTGTGTTTGCAAAAAAAAGTACAAGCTGTTTGCGTTGTTTGGCTTTAAGTGGTTCAAAGCACTTGATATGTTCCCCTTTTATCTAAAAACTACTGTTTTATAAACAGTTGTAGATTTAGCCGGAGCTATAAAACACGTGTCTTCAAGTCAATTTATTTAAAAATTATTGTTTATTCCTTTTCTCACTTCTTCTCATATCCCTCTTATATCAATGTACCTACGTAAAGGTTTGACCCATCAGTTTTCAAAAACCTGGCCATTCTATCGATTATCTGGTTTGGTGTCACCATAACTCGTAGCCTACGCGATCTTCATGGCTTGAAGACATTCGAGGGTGATACAATGCCATGTTCTAAAAAACGGTAGATAGATACCCTATGTAAGTATACATATCCGAACAATCATGACAGCACTGACGAGCGGTATTCTCGATGAGTGTGCAGCGGCGATCGGTATATCAAGCCTACAATTCGCGAACATGAATTCGTCGAGGAATATCTTCATCATCGGTTTTGCCCTTTTCATGGGACTGTCTGTCCCACGGTATTTCAGCGAATATGAAACCGCTTCGGGTCACGGTCCCGCCCATACACATGCACGTTGGGTAAGTCATTTTAAGACGTAAAGTCATACTCATCATCACGAAATGGAATTTTGGGTCCTCGTTTCCACATTTAAAACGGAATCTGCAGATGGAGTCGTTTTGATGTCGTAAAAATTTGGTGAAATAACCAATCTGCTCCTGAAATCTTCAGTCAGGGACGGTGCATCAATTTACAGTACGTAATCATTTGCTCTTGTGAGTGCATGAGTTCAGGATAGCAATCAATAATATAATGTCATACCACTGTAGTACTAAAGTAGTGGATCTTGGAATCGTTTTGTGGAACAGTTCAACGACATCATGAATACTATGTTTGCGTCCGGAACAACAGTGGTGGTCGTTATTACAGTTGTATTGGACAACACCATGAAAGCCTCGAGAAAGGATAGGGGACTTCTCTGGTGGGATAAGTTTCGTGCTTTTGGAGCGGATTCTCGAAATCTGGAGTTTTACAAGTTGCCTCTCGGCTTAAACAAGTTCTTCCCGCCACCAGTTTAGTACCAAAAACCCTTAAACGTGCTCAAATGTACTCTTGTACGCTCACACTTGTTTGTTGTCAGCTTACATGTGCAGGCTTACGTTCTGTTCTAGTTGAAGTCTTGAACTTGCAGCGTACTGTACTTAGCATCAGGAAATATCTTTGGCAGGAATAGTTCAAAGGAAGTCTCAATTTCGTCATTAGATACATTTGTATAATGAACATCGAGATGGAGGGAGACGAAACAAAATGGTTGCAGCATTAGACCCACACTGACTCTTATTACTGAACTACCAGATACAGGGAAATATAAATGTGGTCGGAGATTCTGAATCTGATTCAGATAGACCTGCTTGTTTCACATTTCAATGAAACAGGTGTAGACTTTCAATTCCGAAGACAGCGAGCTCATGCAGTTTTCAAATAGAGCAGATTGACAGCATATAATGTTCTAATTACTGTCAATCTAGCGAATCTACTTTTAGTGGTACCTCAAAGCTTTGAGGAGACAAGAAATCCAGATTTGATTTCAACCCCAGGATAATTATCATCCCTGAATTTGGTTGCAATTGTTGAACAAACGATATGATATCATGGAATAGATCTTCGAACTGTATTGAATTACTAATCCTGATGAAAGGCAAGCTTGTTTGAACAGCAAGATCAACAACCATCACCGGTACCGCCACAGCCAACAGTTTTGAATGACGCCCACACCTTGACAGTGCTGGAGGAATAGATACAAAAGACATTTGGAGCTGCGACTGCTAAATATTTGGTCAAGAAGCAAAGATTTCTTGGTAAATTTCATGGACTAGTAAGATGCTAGTATGGTTCTGAATTAACTCTCCACCCCACCTGCATTTGAACCACACTTTTGACTAAGTTCTTTACAAGCTTGATACTGAATAAGTTCAGCCTTTTTACTGCCTGCTTGCTTGCCAGCGAACCAGCAATTTTGATACATCTGCGGCGTCATCCGAATTTTTTGTCACATGCTTCAAAAGAGCATGAAAACCGTGAAACGTGTGCGTAATATGATGCACACGTAAGTTGCTGGAACCAGAATGCCCTGACTAAAATGGAGAAGTCTAATCACTGACTATGGATTATGACTGCACAAATCATTGCTCGTGTGTTACAAGCTTTAGGCTTGGAAGCCATGAAAGCGTGAGTTCTAGGGGCAGATCAAGGGACTTGTTTGCTCGAAAGTTGACAATTGTTGTGAATAAGTGAAGAAACATCCGTGCAGCTATGGAGGATTGTTTGTCGCGTGGCTCTGATTTAAACCAAGTGTTTGTGCTGCGGCATCCTCCACATTTAAGGATAAGCATCAACTGGGTTGCGGCTGGTGATAAACAGAACTACACAATTACACGGCCAGTTGTCATGGATCGAGGGAAAACAATTTTTGAGAAGGTTTTAAGTGACTTTGTGTTCTGTGGAAGCAAGTTACCAGTGTACAATATTATTTATCTTCTCCTTCGTCCGAACCTAACTTGTAAAACAACATTTTTCCTCCGCGCATTTTGGTTTTACATCCTGTACGAAGGAATTTGGTACAACTTACTTACCTCTGATTAAACCAAAATGAAATTGGTCATGTACAAGTTAATCTCATATGAAGTTCCTAGTCGATCTGGTGGTACGATCCGGATACTACATACTGAGGAATCAGAATTCTGACCAAAACTAGAGAGACGTGCAGGAGTTGAGGTCAAAACAGTTTTCAACTGCAGCTTGCCAAGGAAGTTGCATATGCTACGGGAAGTTGATGAGAGCATTGAAGCATTTTCACTTGGATGTGTTTAATATCTCCAGAGGGCATGACAGACAAGTAGCTTGGCGTTCAACGGTGCTATCGCAGAGAACTGCGATTTGACTTTGTACCTGGTTTCTCAAGCAATAAAAATTTCTCACAATTTTTCTACATCTGACTTGTACAGTACAACCTGTAAGTTGATCCATCCAGTTTCTAAACAAGTTGCCATCCATCCATCCACCCACAAATTGGTAGCACGCGAGAGAAAAATACCTTCGCTTGGAAACTTCATTTATAGTTAATTTATTTAGAATCTCGAAGCTTATCGGATAGTATGTGTGAAGTCATTGCTAGAAGACAAGTTCAAGGTAGAAGGAGACAACCAAGTTTGGCCCTGGCTGGAGTTCAGTAAAAGAACCCACTAGAGCAATGAGAGAAGGAAAGGCTTAGCCAGCTTGCACCTGTGCCACTGGCCTCTATGAGTATGCAAGGGGCAGAGGGCGGAGCCTTACTGTTGAACTGAACAAGTCTTAAAGTACTGTACTTTGGTCAGATTTTTTTCAGTCTAAACATGACTCAGATTCGTCATCGTGTAAGTAAAAAAAAAATTACATTAAGAAACGAGATTAGAGGGTGACATCCCTGCGACCATGAACTCGATATATGCGAGGAAGGAAGACCTCGAACAAGTTGGTACAGATCAGGAGGTTGAGTCACTCTTCCTCGAGGGTATTACTGTAGTCTCTCTAAGATTGTTCGAGACTGGCAACAAGCTAAAAGTCCATTCTGATCTATCTGAAGAATTTTTACATTAAAGAACATCATCATCGTGACAGCCTCAAGCCTGCACCATCATCACCACCGCATGCGCACTTAGATAATGATGTTATTGCGATCAAACGAGCCTTTTTGTACTATCAGACTACAACAGCGACTGCCATCACATGGAATACTCGAACTTGAGCCTCGTTTGATCTCAGTCGATGTAAGTCTGAAAGAACAAAAATATATCATCCATGGTGATCTGCAGAGACGGTGAGACAGAAAAAAAAAGCCACCGAGCTCGATGCGTGCTGCGGTAACCTCATGGCATATTCATGCATAGTACAACAACTCGCAAAATCACGATGTCATGCAGAATACAACAATTGGCAAACTCACAATTTCATGCATAATACAGCAACTATCAAAGTCATAGAAGAATATACTCTATGCTGTTTAGGAAGTGTGCCGTAACACTCTCACCCTCATTCGTTCTGATGCGATTCTTCTCCTGCCAAATATATCCTGCAAAATTCCTATCATCTCTAATCGCTGCATCAGCTCCGACATACTTTTCTGGGTTCTATAAAGCTCGCCAGAGCATCCGTAAACCGGATCCTTAATCCTGGCCTCGGCCTCGAAACACAACGACGTCACTGCATCCTCTCGGCTCGACTCCGGCAAGTTCTGCAACATCTTGCGGACATTGCGGTACCCAAATACTTTGAGCAGGTTTGAAAACTTCAAGGTATCCTCTGCAGGAAAGTAAGGCGCAAATATGCAGTCGACCTTGCACTCCCACTTCCTCTTCCCGTATAAACATTTGCAGGCTCCGCAAGCACAGCCACCAGATCTCGTTTGTTTCCTGGGCTCCATCGGTCACCGACGATAAACCTCGTCTGCGAGTCGAGGATAAGTGGAACATAATGAGACTTGTAATCTATATATTTGAAATCTACGATCCCATATTGGTACCTGCCGTGCCCCCATCCAAGTCTCGGGCATGGATATCGCTTAATCCAACGCCTTCGTAACGGAATCACCAACACCACCACCACCGGACTAGAATTTCAAACTCGAATATTTGTCGTCACATTTTGCAAGGGATTGCTCTAAACTCAGATCCGGTCGTTTGCCAGCCGCGTGAGCGTTTACCGGTCGTATTCACATCCGTTGGCGGATGTTACAGCCTAAAAAATTACAACCGATGCATGTGCCACGCATGAAGAGAACTACTCGAGGACTACAGACAATGCACTTCTTACGCATCCTCGCGGCGTGGCGTGGCTACCGTCGAGGGATAACTATACGAAGAAACCAGCAGGACATTATCGAAGCCGAAGCATTGAGGTTGGAACGTAACTTCTGGCTATACGGAGCTTCCATCGACACTCGAGCGACTCCCTTGTCCCGTTACTTACAAATCGATTCCGCAAGCGTTCGTCTCACTTTCATCATGCCACGGAATAAGAACGTAACACGAATTTTCGCTTATTTTACACCTTCTCTTCGTTTGTAATACTGATAAATGCGGTGGACCTCTTTGCCTACTCTCTCGTCTGGAAGGAATGAGCCTCTCGCCGTGAGAGAACTTTCATATTGATTTTGTGAGGCAAAATTTATCTTTCTAGTCCACACCAAGTATTACATTTCGAATCCATGTTCCGATCCAAATATTGATGGCGAATTTATGCGAATATGTTACGTGCAAGGTCATAGGCATGCTGAGCGTGGTGAGTTTTACTTGCTCACGATGGCACCCAATCCCACCAACCGTGGCCATAAGGTGACTAAAACAACCTTGTTGGTTCTCAGTGATCTTCGAAGTATGATTTCAGTTTGTTTCATGGTCTTGCCATCTCTCCCTACGCAGACTAGTCCGAGGTGAGCGGCATTTCGGGATTTCAGCCACATGTGCGGTTTGTTGTTACTAAGCAGTAACAATGAATTTTTATTCTCCTTGTAGTTACTGGCTTTATTACGCTAGCACCGACCTATTCATAGCTCTAGTTAAATACTTTATTCTGTGACCGAGAGATGCACCAAAAACAACAAGGTAGGACTGCAGTTAATGGCTGACAACAGCCTAAATCTTTGATGGCTTTTTAACATGCCTATGTTGAGCTGAAAGCCCTGGGGTCTAGTTCACTCTAAACTGTGCTTGCAGCAACTGGTAAGGGTACTAGGGAGATTAAGAGCGCAGAGGTGCTTGATGAAGAGTTCTAGCTCTTCTGTAGACATGGGCAATGTGCTTGAGTAAAACCACAAGGAAGATATCCTCACATACGTAGCTTAATGACTTACACCGTATAAGGATTAGTTGACTGCAGTCCTGCCCCACAGTGAATCCAGCTAGCTTGTAGCATTCAAGTTGATGAGAATCAACTCATGCAGGATAGTCTCTCCGTGCTGCACAATGAACTTTATCTGCTTTGAAGGTCATGTCCCAACCAGGCCTACGTTCTATCATCTGAAATGATACCAGCATGATGTCTAGATTAGTCGGATGTATAAGCCGACGTAAAAGTCTCTGAATCAGATTCTGGAAACGAAACAGTTCGTAGAAGAGAAAAATTTCTTCTTCCAGGTCGTTCTCACCACATCGATAACCTCAAATCGAAGCCTGCCTTCATTTGAAAGCGATACAAGACCAATCGACTTGTTCATCCAGGTTCATGCTGTTAGAATAAGTTAGATTCGAAAGCTACTGTTAGAGTGCTAATATTACACAAGACTTGTCCAAAGGAGTGGACGCACATGATTAGTTATCCATTACACTACCGTCGTAGGTAATTACAATCTGAATGATCACAAATCAGTGATTCCAACATGGTATAAGAGCTTAAGTGTTCTCTTTTATCCTTAGGTGAAGATTGCGAATGCCTTAACTTGGTGACCTTAGTATTTGAAGTTTTTTTTCTCTTTCTCTTATGTTCAGAACCATGGATTTCTCAAGAGAAGCTAAAGACATCGACCCAACACAGAAGCTGGACGGCATCGACAACTACTGCTTGGGCTGCGCAAATGCGAGACATCTTAGGCAAGAAGAAATGTTATGTTGCAGTTGAACAAAGCAATGCTTTACCAAAGCTACTACTTGCACTTGAGGTTCCCAAAGGACTTACCGATCACGTAATTAAAAATGCAATTACAGCCAAGCAATAACGAGAGGCTGCAAATGAAAAAATTCAAAAGAAAATCAACATCATTCTCGAACAACGTGATGACGCTGTTTACTACGTTATGATGAACGTGCGTGAGCACATTGTTCATCATATTTCTGCCATGTCTGATACTCACTTGATGTGGAAAGTGCTAGAGACACTACTTGCATTTGCTAGTGAGGATCGATGCTAGCTCTTGCTACGAAAACTGTCAAATCTCTCATTGAGAGAGGTTCAGTCTATCAAAACTCACCTGCGTGTTGTGAGAACCTCACTGACCAACTGTCAAACTGCAACGATACAGTCAAAAATTCAAAACTTATACCTTTCATTCTGATGAGTTTGCCTACGAGTTGGTCAGGATTTGCTTCTTCCATTAAAGCTAGCATGGTTCATAATTCTTACACGCTTTCACAGTTTTTTACTCTTCTTACTTATGAAAAAATGACCTGTGAGGTCAGATCTAATCAAACGGACGTATCAGTCAAGTCTCCTATTGCCATCACCCAGTGTAGGAGACAAGACAAGCTGCAATATTATACAGATAAGAGGAGATCTGCTTCATTCCAATGATCCAACAATGATCGTGGCTACCACATTTTTTACTGAAGAAATTGAGCAACCGAGATCAAAATGAGTTTCACAACCGCGATGCCTCTCGTTACTATTTTCAAAATTATTCTCCTCAGAGGTACACTACCTCTTGTAATACCCCTTGGCATTCTCATGAAAGATCTTATAATAGTAACAAAAATAGCTCTTCATCGTCTGCTACTCTGAGCTTGATACCATGCACTTGCAATGAGTGCAGAAAAATGAGACATTGGTCGTAGGAATGCCATCAGCACCAACTTCAGCAGGAGCTCGTAGCACTTCAAATCTCCTACAACACTCTCAAGAACTCTAAGCAGTCTGAAGCAAACAACATAGAATGTTATCTTGACGATCATGATGACCATCGCAAGATTGCTTTTGAGTAAGCCGATGCTCTATTCTTTAATAACGACCCTACTCTCGTTGTGGACAATACAGTAGTCAACGATGCAACAAATGTACTTTTTGCATTTTATAATCAAGAACAAGAAAAATAGTCATGGTTTTTTGATAGTGGAGTCTCCTCACACTTAACTGGAAATAGTTCACTTCTTTCTATTAAAGAAAATTAGGCTGACCATGTCTCAGTCAGAACTGCAGGCAATTAGATTTTTCTGGTTTGTGGAAAGGGCTCACTTACATTAAATCAGAACAAAGTGTTTGATGTTTTTTACGTGCCTGGTGTGAAGAATAATCTGTTGTCAGTTGGACGTCTGACTGATTTAGGTCATATAGCACTTTTTAACTCCAAGAATGTTATGTATTTGATGAAGAAATCCACATATCATACTATTGCAAGGAGAATGAGATCCACATAACAGTTTATACAAGCTGACTAAGCCTAGAGATCTATTACTAGCCATCACAGAACCGTCTTCCCCAACACGACTTCTTCGTTCCACTAAAGTTTGAAACATAGAAGAGCCTAAACCAAATCTTCAAGCCGGTTCAATTTTTTAGACAGAAATTTGACATCGTAGGATGGATCATGCAAACTATCAAAAACTCCATTTGATGGCCTCTAAGAAGCTGGTTGTAGGAATTCGTCACATTAGATCTTTATGTGCTACTTGTGTGAAAGCAAAACAAAATTGAGATTGTAATCCCAAACATTCTTGTACTCAAACAATTTGTCCATTACAGTTGTTGCACTCTAACTTATGTAGGCCTCTCCCTTCTGAATCTTTAACAAAAGTAACGATATATACTGATGTTTACAGACGATTTACTAGGTATATCTGGATTTATTTTCTAAGGATCAAAGACGAGGCACTACAACAATTTCAAGATTTCAAAGTAACGGTGGAGAATAGTTATAGTCACAAGATTGCTCTCCAAACAGACATAGGGGGAATATCTCTCCAAGACTTATCATGCATTCTGCGTAAAGTCAGGTATTCATCATGTCTTAACCTATGCGTACACTCCACATCAAATTGGCGTATCTGAGCAAAAGAATAGGACTGTATTTGAGATGGCACGAAGCATACTACTTTATGCTCAATTACTTTAAGCTCTTTGGGAGGAGTCCGCAAGGACAGTTGTTTATAACTTAAATCGGCTGTCGACGAAGGCAATGCAGATGTCAACACTCTTTTGGCAGTTGATAATTTTCATTCCAAACGTCAAGCACATTAGAGTTTTTGGATGTGCAACTTTTGTCCTACTTACAACTAGGTTCAACAAACTCTCAGCTAGATCCCTACCATTTACTTTTATAGGCTATGATACTTAGTCAAAAGCCTATCGTGTGTATGATGCTGAAACGTAAGATTTAACGAGTTTGTTTTTAGACTTGCAGCCCGATACGATCTTGAACTTGTTGGCGATCTAGATATTCTATTTTTCCTGAATAGAAAACATCAATCAAGAGTTTGCTCTGTTAGTAATAAAAATGGTCTACCTATTGACGCTACACCTCACTCATTTCTAGAGACTACATCTACTCAAGCGATACTTCCGTTCATTTAGGAATCCAGTTTCTTAGATTTAGAAACAACACGAACTACTTTTTTTAATCTCTTCTGCCTCACCTTTCCCACCTCCATCAGATGAACTCACTGTTGAGAGTGAATTGTTCCAACACTCAACTTCTACTGTTGACAGTCTTGACACAAGTATAGAGTTTACTTCGAATCCTATTGTAAAAGATTTGCCAAATAGTCAGCCGATCACACTCCGCTCCAGGCCTCCTCCAACTTACTAGAAAGACTATGTGAGTTATAGTGTCGAGATTCCTGGAAATACACTCGACTGTTATGAAGTTAAGATTATCGACTACATGGAAGAATAACTTATCTTCGACAAAGCTATCAAGATTCATGAATAGCACGCTTTGATGGTTGAAGAATTGAACTCCATCCATAAAAACCGTACCTAGACCTTGGTTAAATTACCACGAGGAGCAATAACATGCAAGTGGGTGTTTAGTGTCAAAGAAAACCAAAACGGCTCTACACCCCGTCTTAAGTCCCGTATTGTCGTGAGAGGTTTCAAACAAAAAGAAGGTAAGAACTACACTGATAGCTTTGCTCTTGTCGTGAAGTGATCTACGGTAAGATCTGTGTCCGCCATTGCCGGTGCATGCGGATGGCAATCTGCCATCTTGATGTCAAAAATGCTATCTTAAATGGTGTTATCTCTGAAAAGGTCTATGTACAGAAATCACTTCGCTTTATTAAAAAAAGTTTTGAAGATTTTGTATGTGAACTTGATAAAGCGCTTTATGGGTTACAACAAGCTCTAAAGTCTTGGTAGAAATGTATTGATTTATATTTGAGACAAGCAAGTTAGACACGTTGTCATTAAGATCATAATCTTTATGTTTTAAGGAAGGACTTTCTCATAGTAATCTTAATGGTCTATGTAGACATCTTGTACATAACAGGAAATAGTCAAGTGAAAATCTCTAAGATTAAGTCAGATCTAATGCGTCAGTTTAAAACGAATGATATGTAATTCAGAATTATTTAGCAGTTGAGTTCTTTCGGTCACCACAAGGATTATTACTCCATCAGAAGGACTATATATCACCAAAGTTTTTAAAAATTTTAATATGCTTGATTATAGGCCATCTTCATTACCAATCGATGTCGGAAAATACTTGACAGAACATATCATCACTCTCTATGTAGATCATGTTTTACAAAACTAGTTGGCCAATTGATGTTTTCTACTAACTCGAGATTTGATATTTATTTTGTTGTGGAACAACTCTCACGGTTCATGACAGCACCTCAAAAGTCTCATCTGTATATTGGCTTCCAAATCTTGCAGTACCATGAAATTTTGTTCAAACGAGGATATGCACTACAAACTGCAAAGATAAATACATGTCAGGTGGGGTTCTTGCCAAGACACATTCATATCTACTGCTGCTTACATGTTTACACTAACAGGAGGGTCAGTATCATGGTGTTCTAAGAAGCAGAATCTCATCTCACTCTTCTCTAGAGAGACTGAATATAAAGCCTTGTCCTTTAATGCGCAGGAAGCTGTTTGGCTACCACAACTGTTGCATGAAATCAATCCAGTTACAGTGACAATGACATCAACGCCTCTTTCCTGCAAGGACATCAAGATCACTTCTGCTTTTTCCACTCCCAATTCACTGACTGACTCCACAATATAGTTCACTGTGATAACAACAGTGCTATAAAACTGGCCAAAAATCCAATATTTCATGCAAGAAGTAAACACATTGGTATCCATCATCATTTCATCAGGGAACTAATAACTTTGAAGTATTGAAGTTTGATTTTTCTTCATCAAATTACAACCAAGGCTATTCCCAGGCTGAAGATAATGAACACAAACATTATCTTGGTCTATGAAATCTATTAACGTCACCTTAAAAACCTCTTTTGACAATTAGATGATGAAGAATTAAATGTAGAGAAGTAGTTTTTAGATTATACGTTATGCACTTTAGAGCAAGGGAGTATGTTAGAATAAGTTAGATTCAAAATGTTCTCTTAGAGTGCTAATATTACACAAGACTTGTAACTGTATTAGTGTCCAAAGGAGTGGACGCAAATGATCAATAATCCATTACACTACTGTTATAGATTATTGTTGTAGGCTGCTACACTATACGCACAAGATTAATACTCTTAAGATTAATACAAGTTCTTACTGATTAATACAATCTGGCTGATCACAAATCAATGATTCCAACACATGTATTTCTCATCTTTCTGTTCATATTTTCAAGCCGAGTCAATAAGAGTAGGGAAAATGCTAGAAATGATGGTAGTCAATTAGAAATCCTTGAGCGTTCTTATCTAGTGTTATACTTATCCATGGTTCTCATGACAATGCTTGCTGCAACACAATGTGCTATTTGGGGTAGATGGATTCTTGTCAAATATCAGATTTGATTCAACCCTATGAGAGTAGAGCGATTTTCACTTCTCGTGAAGTGAAACTGCTCAGTGTACTATATTAAGCAATAAATTCAATCCAATTCTATATTTTGTGATTGTATGACGTAATAACATGAAGATCTTGCAAATAGATACCCTTGTTCACAATATACAAATATAAATAGCTCAATAGATTAATCATCTTGTCTCAAAATTGAACATTATGATCTTTTATTGACTAAGTTCATCATGTTGAATGTGATCAGTTGTTTGATTCACTTATCAATTTACTTGTTGATTTGTTTTCAAAATAAAATTTTAGATTCAAATTCTATAAGTTTTTGCATCCAAGACAAACGCTTACCAAATTGAAATATGTTATGTTTCCCAAATAATAATATATTAATGCTTAGCATTTGGATAACCAACATCCATGATAAGGACTACAAAAATTTAAATATACATATATATAGAGTATAAATGGTAAATGGTAAATGGTAACATATGTAATGGTATAGAACATATGTGTTGTAGTTTTCCGGCTTTACATCTTTCCTTGATGGATCATTCTTATCTTTACTAATTCGCCCAAAATGCTAAATCCAAATTGCTTCATCTGTTGTAAAGAAACAAATAAATCATTATGTTTATTCTAGGATAGACAATCAAAACTATTTTGGAAAATATACATATGATCTATATCTTCGTATACTCATTTCATTCATATGGATTATAATGTATATCTAGTGGTTTGAGATGTTTTTATTCATTAAATGCAATAAGCGTATATACCAAAATTAGTTTATAGATGTACTTTGTGATGAAAGTTCATCCAATGAAACAATTATTTGGATACATTGTTAACATGAACATGTATAATTGAATATATTTGATGGTATATTTAGTACAAAATGAGAAAAAACAACCAAATTTCATATGAATCTATGGATTATTGAGCTTTTTGATCAAACCTAATTGCATGATTGTTAGATTAGTTCTAGTTACAAAATTTGAAAGAGCACCACTACTTTCAATATCTTTCTCGTTCTCTTTAATAAAGAATTAAAACTTTGCATCAAGAATGTAAAATTGTAAATATTTTTGGATAGCAAATTGAATATAATTTAAAAGAACATTGAACACTAAGATTGAAGTAATTCTTATTGTTTGGTGTAGATTTACAAAGAACATTGACTTTGAAAGTTGAATCACGCTACTAATCTCTTGAAATTTCCAAGAATTAATAACAAAGTAATTGTAGAATTCAAAGATGTATTCACTTCAAAGCAAGTGAAATGCACAATCTGAGTGTGTTAACCTTTGTTGATTTGGAAGATTTTTGATGGTAAGAAATGACAAGATCATCAACATAATCCATTTCACATTCCCACATGCCAATATTACATATGTCATACATTTTTTATTCTAAATATTTTATGTAGCTAATTTAGATCATGGTTAATTCTGGTTACCTTTAACTTGATTAGTCAAGCTAATTAATCTAGCAACAAGTGAGAAAGATTACATAAGATCTCAACGATGAAAAATTAGATTTTAGTGAGTAAATCAACCTAATCATTGAAAAATAGAATATTAATTATAATTATGTTATTGATATTACTCTTACAAATGCTTAACAATTAATATCATATAGTGATTTTTTTTGTTTAAGTTGAATTACAATCATCTATTCATACTTACTTTCAAGCATAAGATCTTGTGTTACAACAATGCAAAACAAGAATATTGATGATAGAAACATATGTTATAGCTATGACATTAAAGGTTTTAATATTTTTTTGGATGTACACAACATTGTGAAAAGTGAAAAATCTAGAATTTTTGTATTGCAACAAGTTTATTTTAACCCAAATTTGATCAATAAGTAACGCATTATATTCAAAATGTAACTAAAATGAACTCGAATGACAACAAGACAAAAAGCATACAATACATAATGAATATGAGGTTTAGCTTGATGTCAAATATGTATAGAGCTATAATCAAGAAACAAAGATTAAAAAAATTAGTATTGTTTGTATCAATGAATATTTCATATTATTGTTCAACACTCAATGCAAATTGAAATAAACAAATGATGTATGCATTTTTTTACATGTTTCAAGAATTTTTTATTACATGAATATTCAAAAAATATATGTATCATGATTTATTCTCAACAATTCTAAGCACTGTATGAACAAAATTTCAATTTGATTTGCATCGATAATTAATTTTTTTTTTGTAATATGTAAGAAAAAAATGTGTGGTTGTCAAGGTTCAAATTGTCATTTGAGATTTTTGAATATTGACACCGTGATCTATTCTACTCTAGATTTAATGGTAATAACTAGAAACTAAAAATCATTTTGTGCCAATTATCATTCAACATAATTTTTTGAAAATAACAAATCTTCACTTAAATTTTTCTAAATTTACTTAAAATTTCCTTTCCTATCTATTTTTTAAAGAGAGTGTCTATTTAGATCTCAGTTTAGGCTAATTAGTGCACATCCTAGTCTAATGTTTCCATGAAATGCATTATTCTTCCCTTTTTCTTTCGCAAGTGAGCACTATATTACACATCCGATCTTGTCTTTGCAAGGTATCAACCAATCACATAACTCTGCATAGTAGATTGAGTACTAATTGAGTGATAATTAATTGTACATTTTTAAAATTGATTTTAAATCGATCTCAATAAGATTAACTTTGATAAGTATCATTAATATCTTTTCATGATTATTAAATATCAAAACATCATTTGATTATATATATATCTTAAAGACTTTATTGCTCTGCTTATATAATTACAATCATACATTACACATTTTTGAATTTTTTTTTTATCAAATTCAAATATTTTTATTTAACTAAAAAATGGAAAATCTAATTATATAGTTTTTTGTTTGAAATTTTATATTTGATGAAAGATAAAGTAATGATGTTTATGATAATTTCTAGAGACATTTTTCCATTACTATATTAGTAAAAATTTTATAATTACATTTAGTAGTGACTAAAACAATTATAGTTCAATTTTTCAAAATTTTACAATATTGATCTTACCATTCATAATACTATTAAATATATTTTTCTATTGATGAGATGTATATTTTATCATTATAGTATAGTAAAAATAAAAATATTAACAATTTCATTTTTGGTCAAACTCAAGTCATTGATAATTATAATTTTTTCATACAAAACTTTATTATTTATTACCTCAGTGAATTTTGCTAGAATTAAATATCATAGATTAAATTGAGTACGGTTTGATGCTAAAATTTCTTCAAATACAATGCAATAAAATGAAACACTTGCCAATTCAAACATTATATCAATATAGTTCTCACAATAATTATATTCCATTATGATAACATGTCCCACATAAAGTGAACATTATACCAATGTAATTCTTCAATGTTAGAGAAACAATTGTGGTTTTGATTTTTTTCTTCTTATTTGATTAATACAGTTTGATTTTTATGATTTTTTCAAAACATAATTTTTATTATATAGAATTGAAATCTAACTTTAATTAACTTTAATTAATAATCATAATTTCAATACAATATAAATAAAATTTAATTTAATTCAATGATATATAATTATAAAACATATTAATATTTCACCAATGAAGATAAATTACAATATGTACTTAATAATTTATTATTTTAGAAAAAATATAATTCAAAATATGATTAGTTATTTTGTGCGATTGTTTAATAAAAAAAACATGGCAACATGATTTGAATAGAAATATATATCATGTAATCTTAAAGTCCTAAATTTAATATTAATTCTTTAGTATAATAGATGCAATTAGATTTTCAAAATTGACAAAAAATATGTTTCATTATGAATCATTGTTTAAAGATAAATTTCAAAATTAATCTAGAACCAATCTAACACATATATTTGGGTATTTAATTTCATATAAAAATATTTTATGAAAATAAAATTTGAAATATATTAAAAAATATTTTTGAAATTATTATTAAAATATAATTGTAAAAAAATTATTTATCCAATACAATGTCAAAATATGATTTAATAATTAAAAATTAATAATATTTCAATTATTGATATTGAAATTTATGTTTTTAGATTTTGAAGAAACTAGTACGACAAATTAGACTAGAGTGAGCCCTTGGCTAATGTGCCAATAATAAACCAATAACAATAACTGAGCAATAATCAAACTATGTTATATAAATCCAAATTAAATAACTACTAATCACTCTCTTGAAATATTGTATCTACAAATTACATATCAAGTATCATTTTTTATTGATATTTGTGTAAAAAATTATGAACATTTTATTAAATTAAATATTATTTAAAGATATTGAATAACAAAATTTAAAAATTTTTAGTTTCATAAATTACAAAAACTAGAAATAAATTTAAATATTAATTTTATTGTTAGAATAAAAAATTTATTCAAATAATATACTTTTTGTGTGTATCAATAACATTACTTATAGTCTATTTTGATAAATTTAATATTAAAATTAACATAATTATTTAAAGTAATAAAAAATGTCTATTTTCAGAAACTCAAAGATTTTATTATTTATTTTCTATTACATATAGTTTTTGTTGTTTAAAAATATTATTGGGATTTAAATTTTACATTTAGAATTGTTAAAATTTAGAATTATTATTTTAAAAGTTGATTATTTAATCACTTTACTAGATATTTAATCATTTCATCACAATACTTTATCTATAACAAGCAATCTTTTGAACTATATAGAAAAATATTTCAATTCAATAAAATTAATTATTTCACAATGAATTTTCCCTCGAACAAATAATCTTTTGAATTATAGAGAAAGATACTTCTATTCAAGAGGATGAAATTGATCTACTAGTTATTTTGGTAAATTAAATAAAGAATGTATGAATTTTGGAAACGTTTCAGTGGGCCAAAGTTACATCTCAAGGGAAATGTCATAAAGGACTTAACATGACCAACAATTTCTCGTCGTTGTACTGACTTCGTCCATGCATGTGACCGTCATGGCACTTCACGAAGAGCTTGGCAACAAGTATAAGGTAATCCAAATAATACCTACTATCAAGTCTTACAAGATCTTTGACAAAAATGTGGAAGCAATGTGGTGTATAATTCTTCTATTAAAATACACAAAGGGTTGCAACAAGCAAAACAAAAATCAGATGATTTAGGAATAAATGGACTATATCATATGAAAAACGAAAAAAAGATTCAATTGATGGAGCTAATGAAGATTGAAAAAAAAGCTACCTTTTGTCTTTGGGAATCTTGTATTGTCCTGCAGAAGAAAAAGAATACCAGAGATTGCAACAAGAGTTCCAAAAAGAGACACCTCTGTTTTTAATTGGAGATCAATGGGGATGTCCAAGAATTGCAAGTTGAAATCGATTCATGCACTCGGGAGTAGGAGATGCTATAGAGAAAATAGTACAAAATGAATGTAAACAACATTTAGTATGGCCCATCCAGGGAAGGTGCTGATGGGAAGTGGCAATGGTCCAACCTGTCATTCGTACCTCTCTCCCTCCCGACCACATTCGTCGTCAGATCGATGCAGAAGTGTTTCCTTATCACGCATACTTCCTCGCCGTGCGGAGCCGAGCCAAGCCAAGCCAAAGCCCTCATACAAGTCACGCTCGAGCTTCCCGGCAGGAAACCTCCTCCCCAACAACGACACTCAATGTGGATCTGCATCGATCACCCCGCTGAAATCAAACTGTTCTTTGGTCCATTATTTCCATCCCCACTTGATTTTAGAGATCCATTTGTATGGATCCGAATCCATAGAAATGAAACAAAAGAGCTTCATAGAAACGGGAAATTGGTTACACGATTCCGAAATTTAGTTTTGAAGTCACATGTCACACTGTGCATAGAATATACCTGAGCTGAGCTGAAGGTCCACTATGACAAATCAGAAGTATTCCCTTTGATGAGATATCCCGTCGTGCTCGGCATGACCGGTCCTGGCATATGGGCGCGAGGCAACTAAACTCAGCTCACCTCGACACAAATGAGAGGTATTATGACGATCCAGTCAACTACAAGAATGAGGTCGTGATTGAGAACATAAAGTAGGTTCCAAATCAGTTCGCACTCCTATCTAGAGAATCTGCCCTCCCCTCGGCGAAACCCTAGAATTGTCGCGATGCTAGGAAAGCCTGGAATCCATATACTGTCCGAGGACACGAGGCGTCCGCTGGGAACAGTCGAGAAGGGCCGCGGGTGTGGCCCGTGCGCCACCACGGCCACCCACAATCCGGAGGAGCGGAGTCGGAGAAGCCGTACGGAAGGCGTGGCCAAAGTCCCAGGGCAGGGCAGGACCGGGTAAGGAAAGGGTAGGGAAGGGTAGGACTGGGCTTCATGGTGAAGGGAACGCTGGGCTCAGGCACGGTCGAGGGCAGGGGGAGAGGGAGGGGCGAGGGCGTGGGGGAGAGTCTAGAAAGTGCAGAGAGCAGTGACTGTTGTCGATTGGGCTACAGTTCGTGCGCAGTCATTGCGCTAATCCTGATTCATTTCTCGTGAGCGTGCACGACTCGAGCAAGACCCGAGCAGACCAGATTCTTTCAGTTGTTGCTCCCGAACCCCATCCTGGTGTCAGTGGGTTTTCCTCCTTCGCTGCTGCGGCTGTGGCTTGCTGCTGGTGCTATTACTACTTCAAAGCCTCGGCGATGGTGATGCAAAGTCTGACCACCCCTCTGGTCTCGTCGTCCTGCGTTGTCCCCACCTCTGCTTCTCTTCGCTCTCCGTCTCCTTCTTTCTCTGCTTCTGTTTTCTCTCAGAAGGCATCCAGGGCGTTGAGTTTTGGGAGCTCAGGCTTGTTGAATTCTGGAGCTGTTGAGGCTTCCGCAAGACCGAGTGTTGGTTTGCCTAGCGGAGGCAGAATTAGTACCATGGCTTCTCAAACTACTGTCCAGAAGATGGATCAGGATTCCCCTGTATCGGGTGAGGCTTCTGTCGAATAGCTTATGCGAATTGGGTGCTATTGCTGGTGGTGGGAGTGTGGATTTGGCATTGTTCGTTCGAGATTTCGGTTCGGGGAGTATGTGTCGCTCTGAATGGTCCAGTGGTGGAAATTTAGCCCCATTTGGAGATGCAGTGTGTTTCTGTTCTGAATTTCAACAAGTGCTTCGTTTGGATGAAGTTACAGTGAGGCTTTTTGGGTTTAGTATGAATGTGTACAGTAATGCAGTATGTTACTGACATCCTTGTTCGTTGTGATCTGATTTGGATCAGAAGCGGTTGTCGACGAGCCTGTCCAGATCAAATTACGATCGCTGAAGTTGTCGGACTTAGGTCCATCTGAAATTAGAGGTCTTCAGGCGCGACCTCGCATCGACTTCACTAACATCCAGAACATAGTGCGTCCCACTTGGCCTTGCTCATCAGACAGCGAATTGATTATCCAATTTTTGTTTTTTGTGGAGTCTTAGCAATCCGGAATCGAATTAGTTTCTGATTTTGGATCATTGTGTTTCATCCACCTCTGTATGAGTTTAGGCTCTCAATATATTGCTTTCTATAAATGCCATTGATATCGATTTTATGCCTTTCTGTCATAAATTAGCTCTACGTTTCAATGCTGTATATACAGCTTTACAAGCTTGCGTTACGATTCTACATGCCTGTTTGATTTCAAAATATCATTCAGATGGGTTCTACGGCTTCAGTTGACATGTGTCTCGATCTTTACTTGGGGCAGGTTGGACCTATCGTCGAAGACGTCAGATCTCGTGGAGATGAGGCTGTGAAAGAGTATGTTTATGCTGTGACCTGTATAGCTGAGAAGAACTAAATTTTCGGGTAGTTTCCTTGTCCTCTGGATTGGCTTAAATAGGTATTGATCGATCTGTTCCGTGATTTGTACTACAGGTACACCGTGAAGTTTGACAAAGTTACCTTGGAGAATATAGTAGAGCTTGTAGCCGATCTGCCAGACCCAGAGGTATCATCTTCACAAGATCTGTCAGTTTTACTTGTTCTTTTCCTTCACCGGACATGGATGGAGTACGAAACAGGTCGACCGACAGCATGTAGATCTTGATCGTGTAGACTTGTGTATGTAACTACTGTGCCCTTGCTTGACCAATTCACCTCCAATACGGTCATGAAATCCTCCCAGAGAATGGCAGAATCCGTGTTTTGGTATTTGAATTATGTCTGGAATAAGCTGCTCTTGAGCTTTATTGAAGCAAGTGTCTGTATATCTGCAGCTAGATCCCGAGGTGAAGGCTGCCTTTGATGTGGCATACGCAAACATAAAAACGTTTCATGCTGCTCAGAAGAAATCTCAATCGATGGAAGTGGAGACTATGCCAGTGGGTGCTGATCTACTCCTTCTTTGACGTTGTTTCAAGATTCTCTTTGATATAGGGTGAACATATCGTGGCCCTGTGGTCCAGTGTCCACCCGCCTGCCAAAGACAAATTTTGTTCTTGGTTGATAAACAACGTGATTTTAAAATATGAAACAGGGAGTAAGGTGTAAACGCGTTGCGAGGGCTATAAGCAACGTCGGTCTTTATGTTCCGGGAGGGACAGCAGTGCTTCCATCGACTGCTCTCATGCTCGCAGTGGTAGGTGGCAAAAGATTCTAGTCAATTTTGCCATTTTGAGTTTCAGTTTTTAAATTTGCTCACTTGTCCTTGAAAGTAGCGCGTTTTAGCTTTCACTCATTTGTTTGTGGTATGATGCGACAGCCTGCTCAGATTGCTGGTTGTAGGACGGTAGTCGTTGCAACTCCACCTCGACCAGATGGCTCAATTTGCCCTGTAAGTGCCTTTAGACGTCGATCATTGTAGCGAACTCACTCCACTGGAATTACTGACTCCGTCATGCTGTTTTTGTTTCTGTACGAAGACCGAACGGCATGTTTGTTGAAATGTCACAGACATAGGATTGTCGTTAGGGTAACAAGCGTTATGTTCTATATTTTATATTCTAGGAAAGTGTGAAGTCATCTTCGGTTGCTTTTGGCAGGAAGTTTTGTACTGCGCCAAGAAGGCAGGTGCAACTCACATTCTCAAGGCTGGCGGAGCTCAGGCATGTCACATCCACACCTACTACGATTCCAGGAGTTTAGCTAGGGTGAACTTGAGTCGAATGTTAGAAGAACGCATCGAATTTCGAACGATGATGGATACCGAACACCTACATATAATGCATAAAAGAAGTTTGGGTTTTGGGTTTAGGGCATTTGTACCTTCATCCTAGGTAACACCTGGACAGGAGACATGTGTCAGTGCTATGTTGTTTGTTCACTGCTGCTGAAGCATGCTTCAACTATCTGAATGAAATCTTGGCTTGCAGGCAGTTGCAGCAATGGCTTGGGGCACGGATACATGCCCTAAGGTACCTTGTTACACTTTTCGGCATACCTTATTTGATTCAAAACAGGATGGTCATTCTTGACGTACTATCGTTGCCTTTTGAGGAGAGTTGTTGTCACATATTCTGAAAGTAACGCATGAATCGCTTTATCTAAAGTCGGAGCGTTAAGCCAGCAGGTCTCTTACTTGTTTCCTGCATTCTGGTTTTACAGGTTGACAAGATTTTGGGTCCTGGAAATCAGTATGTAACTGCAGCGAAAATGCTATTGCAGGTTTGATTTCACTCTTAGTCCTGACATGGTTTGCGCATCTCCAAGCATACGCACTTCATCTAGAGGAGATTATACACTTTATGAATGTTAATATCTTGATCGATGGAACTATTGAATAGTTTGATGTGTTTTTGGTAAAACCTGTATCTACTATTGTATTACTATGTTCTTACATAATTCAGGTTTTGTGAGCAGAATTAGTAGTTGGAGAAGAACAAAAACTTTATGACAAGAAGAAAGATTCCGAGATCAATTCCTGCCATGTCATTGTGCAGCCCTGCAAATCTAGATTCTATGTCTTAACTAGCAAACTGCATGTTCAAGTAGTTTGATTGTTATGGGATACGGCTGCAGAACAGTGAAGCTATGGTGTCAATTGACATGCCAGCGGGTCCATCAGAGGTGTTGGTGATCGCCGACAAGTATGCCAGCCCTGCGCACATTGCGGCTGATCTTTTGTCTCAGGTAAATTGGGTTTATGAATGGTCGTTAGTTCGGATGAATTGGGACTTTTTCAGGTTTGAATTATTGTTCTTAAGTTCAACTTTTCACCGTCGTCGGAACATATCGATTTCAGATTGACTTATCGTTCAGTTTTCGTTATACACAGGCCGAGCACGGACCTGACAGCCAGGTGGTCTTCGTAGCGGTCGGTGATGACGTAGACGTAGAGGCGATTGAAGCTGAAGTAGAGGCACAGTGCAATGCGTTACCCAGAGGAAGCATTGCGGCCAAAGCTCTGCAAAATAGCTTCACTCTCATCGTTTCTACAAAAGCTGAGGTGAAGTTGGCATCCTGTAACCTTTAACTACTGTTTCTCAAATTATAGATGAAGGTTATGAAATTATCGAATCCTCGTGATCTAGCTGACAATTTTGTGGGTATCTGGTTGGCCAGGCATGCGCGTTTTCTAACTTATACGCCCCGGAGCACTTAATTGTCAACGTAGAAAATGCCGCCAGCTGGTTAGACAGTATCGATAACGCAGGTATTGTTGATATTCCCCCTCGCTAAATGTCCACTTAAAGGCTATACACACGAAATTCCCAGCTTACAGTGTCGGCGTTCGAGAAGTCGGTGTTACCGTTTCCAAGTGTTCCATGTCTGGTTATTATAACATCTTGTATGAGGAACTCACACCTCGTTCAATGTGCTAACATATCTTGCATCTAGATGCAACTGGCAGTTGTTTGTTGGACGTGATTTTGAGAGGTCTGGTATGTTGTCTTTGCCTGCAGGGTCTGTATTTCTGGGAAGATGGACTCCCGAAAGTGTGGGTGATTACGCTAGTGGTACCAACCATGTGTTGCCAACCTATGGGTACGCTCGTATGTACGGTGGTGTCTCATTGGATTCTTTCGTTAAGTACATGACCGTTCAATCTCTTAGTTCCGAGGGCCTTCTAGCTCTAGGGCCTTCAGTCGCCAAAATGGCAGAGGTTGAGGGCTTGGACGCCCATGCGAGGGCTGTCACCCTACGTTTGAAAGACCTGAAGGCACAGAAGTAGCTAATTGTCGAAGCCCTTTAGTGGGATCTTAAATTTGGTCTACGTACTCCGAAGGAGTATGCAAATTTTGTCTGTATGAGTAATTACTCTATCCTTTGGAGATTGTTAGTGTCACTTTAAGGTTGCGTTATCTGTGCATTCAATGAACTCTCCATCCTCTCGAAGAGGCTTGTAATATTTCAAATATTGAACTCATTTCTTCCTGCTCTGTCATTGAGAAGCAGATTTTTAACATGTCGATCGCCGTTCTCTACAGAAACGCCTCATATTTTACGTGGGTATTGCAAATGTACTATCCTATTTCTTAAATCTAAACACATTCGTATTGTCTTGTTTTATTCTCTTGGGATCTGTGTAGTGATTATGGTGCCTCGGATATCTTTTACACTAATCTCCTGTCTAGCGGGTTCATCAAATATAACAATGGACTTCTTTGTCCGGAGACTTTGAGATGCTTCACTTTCGAATGTCTAAATTGAAAGTGAGATTTGAGTAAGATTTTTAAGTTCAGATGATAAATGGTAATAGATCAAAATGAAAAACACAAGCGGCGGTCACAAACAAACAAGTGAAAATACCCCAAAGGCCAAACCCTAGCTAGTGCCAAAAGCATTAGAACATAACTAATAATATCCCTAATATAACAATTTAAATCAAAAGAAACTAATTGTAACAAAGAATACAAATTCTCTATATTTATATTATGAGTCACTCTAATCTCTCATATCTAGTACAAGTAAGAAATACATGTTTTTCATGCTCAACTTCTCTTCCATCACATAGGTTACAAATACGTTCATTCCTATCAATATTAAATCAACGTACTTCCTCAATTCCAAGCCTATGAGATCCAGTTCTATGCCTAGCAATAATATGACGTAAGTACGTAGAGATTCCTGCAAGTAGGTAATACTGTTCACAATAAACAAACATAAGATTCACATGAAGTTGATAAAACTGCATCTTGGTGCCTCGCTTGCTCCAAATAATGTTCAAAAACTACTCCTTTAGACGTTCACGTAGTGCTATAGGTTGAAGGTCCCAATTGCGTTCCGTCACATTCCACCTCAAAGACCAAGTTATCAAATCCGCTAACCATCCTTTGGCACGTGTGGCACTCAAAGCCTGAGGAGGAAGGCGAGAAGCATCAAGAGATCTCACCCTTGTGATGTAAGTGATGATCAAGTATAGAGCTTCAGCTTCTAGAGGTAAACAACCTGTTTCCGCAAGAAAAATAACATATGAGGTTTGGTTTCTCACACCCATTTCTTCTTGTAGAAATATCTTCTGCACCCTCTCCACACGCTCCCAACGTGTCTTCTTACAACCAGGATCCCACACCTGGGTTCCATACAATACTACCGGCAACACTAAGCTTCTGAATAAAAATTTCCTAAGACTCGAAGACACAAGATGAGCACTTCTACACCCATTTAGCAATGAATATAGAGCTTTGTAACCACCTTCTACTCTCTTTTGCACACAAAGTGCCCAATTATAATCATTAGGAAAATCAATGCCTAGATATTTATAACTCTTCAACTCTTTTGATTGTAGATCCTGGTAATAGAAGGAAAACTTGGATCTAGTGCCCACTATCATGACTTTGGACTTCTCTATATTTACCTCAATCTGATTCTGGGTACCAAAGCTAGCCAAAGTGTATAGGTGTTTCTGTAAACTAATTGCATCACGTGCTAGTAATATAAATGGTAAATGGTAAATAAATATGATATCATCTGCATACAAGAGAGCTTTGATAACAAAGTTTCCAAGCTTGACACCTTCACTATCACATGCCTCCAAGCACTCTTCGATATCATCTATAAAAATTCCAAATAAAGTAGGAGAGAGAGTACAACCTTGAATCACTCCAATGGTACTCAAAACCTCTTCAGTTTGAGAAGTGTTGATATTGGCTCGAATAGATTGGTAAAGCGTGGCCACAGCTGCTAGAAGATCTGATGGTACTCAAATGACTTGCAGACTTTCCCATAATAGCTCACGAGGTACGGTGTCAAAAGCTTTCTTAAAATCAATGAAGGCGCAAAACAAAGCTTTGCCGTTGCCCTTCGACTTCTCCCATAAAACACGCAAAGCCAAGATATGATCAATGGTGTTGTATGTGGGGCGAAAGCCTGCTTGAAACCGCGCTCTCTTTCGATGAGATTCAGTCCATGTGCTCAACTTTGACTCCACCAATTTGCCAAACAACTTGGCAAAAACACTACCCACCATGATAGTGCAATAGTTTGTCACCAAGTCCTTCCTTCCTGACTTGTGAATATGCACAATCTTTCGTAATGACCAAGCTGAAGGAAAACCATACATAGCTGCATTCTCTAACGCTTTGGTGAGTCTTGGTCCAATAACATCTACTCCCCACTTCAAAAGTTCAATAGAGAGACCATCCAAATCCTCCGATTTACCATTTGCTAGTTTTCTAACTTGAGTCATCACCTCTGATTCAGAAAATAAGCCTGATGTTCCTTCACAACAAGGCATTGATGCAGCGTTGGGAAAGAAATAAAGCTTTTCAGCAAAGTCAATCAAACTCTTGGGATCAAGAGTAGGTTTTGAAAACCTTACAGCTAACCGTCTTCAAAAGGATTTGGGATTCTCCATCAACTCCTTTGTCAAGGAATCCTGCTTCGTTCTCAAAAAAGCTCTTTTTTTAGACTTCACCAAGTCTTTGTAAAGCCTTGTCAAGGTAAGCCGACTTTGGAAATCCAAAGACTTGTCAACTGATCTCATCCTCGCTTGCTTACAATCCAAGTCAAACCACCATTGCAAGGAAGCCCCCTAGCTCTTCGATCCTTGTGCCGCAAAAAGAACTTAGAAGCAGTGTCTTTGAGCAACTCTATTAATTGCCCACTCGCTGTATGTAGATCAAGGCTCCATGAAGTGTGAGTCAAAAGGTTTTGAAAATGTAACATGTATTGCTCTTTCTTACTAGGATCTAAACGAAACTTGGGAGAAGCTAAAACAAAATGGCATGGAGAGAGAAGGATTGTTTTTGATAACAAGAGAGTAAATAAGAGAGGTGCATGATCTGACTCTTGCTGAGGTTCTAGAATATCAAATTTCGAAATAAGAGAGCTATGAATGGCTGAGGATAGAAGATAATCAATGGTGCTAACACTTGTAGGAGAAAAGCACGAATTGGAAAGGGAGTTGGGAAAGAGGTAGATACCGTTGAGAATTTTCAAATTACATGTGGCTCCAAAGATTAGAAAGTCATCTGTCAAAGGATTTGTACAAATATCAGAAGACTTTCTACACCACATACTATCTTCAAGTTCTTCAAAGGAGTGAGAACTCAAGAGATCACCAACTTGGGTATATTGTGCACAACCTATTCGAGCATTGAAATCTCCAACCAGAAAAACTTCACCTTTGCTCTGATAATTGAGAATATCTCCTATAAGTCGATGGAATGGTTGACTCCGATTGCAAGTGCGTGTGGAGTAGATAGGCATGGACAATGGTGCAAAGTAACAAACATCCAAATAACTATAAAATCCTCCAACCAAACCAAGACGAAGCCAATGATATTGACCTCCAATCATCTTACCTTCTAAATGTATCAAAGGTAGAAATTGAGATCTGATGAAAGTAGCAATACCGCCATAGCCTCTTCCAGCTCGTTGACTTCTCTGATTCCAAGTGGATCCCACCAAAGTAAACCCTGGTATCTCTCCAATAGTGTTGCTCTCATGTTCCCACGTCTCCACAATGTTGATGATGTCCGCCATCTTCCAAATCGGATTAGCACTCACATACTTCGTTGTAGAAAGACCTCTAATACTCCTTATTAACACCCTCAAGCTCTTGGATTGCTATGTGGATGATTGTCTCTTCCGTTGAGTGACAATTGCTTGTCCATCTCGGAGATAAGCAAAAAATCCAGCATCTTGAGCTTTTTTGACTTTTGCAAGCTACTTTCTCCTTGCCTCTACTTGTAGAGGTGTGAGATCGAGATCTTACCAAATCCTACGTCCTTTGAGTACAGCTTTTTTGGCTAAAGCTGTATCACGTTGAGTTTGATCATTGAACTTAACTATGATGGCTCGAGGTTGAGTTCTTATGGTTCCAATGCAAAAAGCTTGAGCCACATTCGCATTAGAAACATCAAGTGTTTCAGCTAAAAACTTGGTGACAACACTCTTCACCTCTTTTTTCTCAGATTCAGGTAGACCAGAAATTCTCACATTCTTTCTACGAGCAAATTGATTAGTCTTTTCAATCTCTTGCTCTTGACAGAAAGAGATATGAGCAGACTTGGTGGCTTCTGCATAAGATTTCATCTTCACCTCTAGACTTTCAACCACTTCATGCAATCTAGGAGTAGTAGCAGTGGAAGCTTGAGAACCAACTTTCTCGTAAATATCCTCTACGTGTTCTGAAATATCAAGCATAATCTTCTCGAAACTCTTTTGGGAGAGCTTCAACTCTCTAATTTCATTTTGAGCTGCAATTAAAGTGGAGCTCTGTACCTTGAATTTTGCACGTAGTACTTTCAACTCTTCCAAAACCGTTTGCAACTGATTGAGTATGAAATTGTCTTGAGACGCCATCATGTGAATGCTCTCTAGAAAAGCTCAGACCTCCAAGACACGTCAACTTCTCACTCCAAATGGCGTTCGGCCTGAAATTTTGCAGTCTTGTGCGCCCTGCCCTACTCCAGCGTTCCACCAAATTTCAGCTCCAGGTCACTCCCAACGTTGAAGATACAGCTCCCGTAAGAATCTCTTGCCCTCAAATCTTGAAACTCAAAGCTCGAAACTCAAAATTGGACGCACTCTGACTCTTAAACTCCGTTCGAACTGAAAATCGACAAGCTTGAGCGCTCTACCCAACGTCAGAACGCCACAATATTTCAGCTCCCGTTCACACTCGAGCCCAAAGTTACGGCCCCTGCAAGATTCGGCCCTCCCCTCTCAAAAAGCTCAGACCTCCAAGACACGTCAACTTCTCGCTCCGAATGGCGTTCGGCCTGAAATTTTGCAGATGAAAATGTCCCCCTCCACACTTCAGATTTCACTCTCGTTTTTACGGTTTGAAATGAATCTAACAAAAACCCGGAGTTAGTATATCGAGCAAAATTCTAGTCAGAGCGTACAGAGAAAGGGAATGATTGACTATGACTGGCACCGAACATTAGGCATTTAATTTTCAGCGTAGCTATCATGCTAAGATGGGTCGCCTCTTGAAAGTCCATTTGTAATTTATTCAGAGCGAAAGAAGGCTTTGTGGATTTGGATGTCAGTAAGGACGCCTAATCGATGTACCTTGTGAAGTACCGAGAGTGCGGGTGTGCCTATTGTGATTGTGGTGTAGGTATATGTAGGTATATGACCGAAGATCTTCAGTTTGGAGCCGCGAGTTGAAATTATACACAGAAATAGAAGCGTGAAGTGACCCATAACTCATGTGCATTACTGATAAAACCAAACCATATCTGAACACGTGTGAGTCTAGACTAATCGTTGCCACACGACTAGCTCTTCGAATACTTGGAATAGACTTTATTTTTAGATGGTCATCAAGGTATTGATTTTATCGACACCTTGCAAACTCTATATAAGAAAGATTTCAAATTCTAAAACAATTCTTGCCAACAATCGTCTTCAACATCTCAATAATTCACAGTTCTGATCACCGAGTCCCAGTAGAATTTTTAAAATTTATTTTAAAAAGATCACGAAGGACACTATAATTACAATCATAGATTATAAGAGATTGTAGTCGAGTCAAACCAACATCCACTATTTTCTTCAAGTGCTACCGATTTTAAATTGTCTTTTCTCCACAATAGCCACACCTTCAAAGGAAGGATGCAAGTTTTACAGATTTCTACCATCTTCATTCTACAGATCTACTTAAGGTGGTATTTAGTGAGAACTACACTCACTCGACTTTATAAGTTTATAAACTTATAAACTTCATATAATTAGAAGGGTTGCCATGCACCACCCCACAAATTGTGGGGTGGTGATAAAAGTGAACATGTAGCCCACGTAACTTCGGATAACTTATATAGGTGGTAACAAAGTCCAGTTGCAAAGAGCGTGGCAACAGGAGCTAGGTTGAATCCAATGGTACCCGATATCCATGTGCGATGAATTTCCAGTATCTAAAGTATAATCTAAATTACTAACTTACAACAACAAACCTCTTTTTAGTATCTTTACAAGAGTAATTCACGGTTACCACAGTACTAAACCCGTTAAAGACTGGTTCTTCACCAAATAATACTAGTACCAACATCATCACCAAACTGATCACTAATGGTTTTAACTTAATAATCATTAAATGATAGTGTAAATATTTGCATTGCGGCTACTCCACGCGAAGTTTAGGTGTTTTTAAAAAAAGTAGCCCACTCACAAGTGCGGGAGACGAGTGTGATGGTGGTGATTCTGTTCGCATTATTCAACCAAGTTTTGCAGTTATGGCGTGTTCTGTTGATAGGAAATTAATCATTTCAACGATCGTTCGATAAACGACTGTTCATCGATTGGTAGTCACTCAGCTGACTAGTAGTATATCGTTCAATTAACCTGCAGCGACAAACAAATTATCGGAGACTGATTCTCTTTAAAATTATGTATATATATATATATATATATATTTATATTGATTTGTTTCTTTTAATCAAGATTGACATCATAACTGTACTGTTTTTTGTTTAATAGAGAAACCAAATTGAGTACTTTTTTTGTCTGGACCGGAAACTATCAATGACCAGGATGAAGCTTGTCTCGGGATCTGAACTTATTTCAACTCCCCGAAGCATTTCGTCGCTTGCTACACGTTTCCATTATATTTTTCTTAGGTTGGTTCAGGATTAGTGGTACCCACTTTGGTCCCTGCTTGACGGGTACGTCTTGCATATATCAAAGAAAATTACAATTCGGGTGGTACATTTTCAGATTCAGCTGTGACTTGCTGATACCGCATTCACTCAGCCTGTCTGCCAGAAGCTATGGAAAGAAACATCTAAACCATATCTATCCGGTTCTCAAACAGGACGTCAAAGTTGTACCTCCCACGATCCCTTGACTCCAACTTGCTCGTTCACAGACACCAACACCGCAAAATCCACAACTGACAGTTTCTTGTGCATCGATCAGAACACTCGTCACCCCGAGCAAAGTCTGAAGTGGACGCAGTCAGTGGTCTCAGAGTTTACAGCACATGATGATCTGGCCTCACGCAGATCGAACTGGGCTAGAAAATAGCCACAGAATTTGGCCCTCATCGACGCAGGGAGGGACTGGAGTTCAGCTCCGAAACGACGTCACACGAGCCTGATCCGATTCAAGGTCGGAAATGGTGGTCGACGCCGTGAGCAGAACGGTTGCAGCTCAAGCGGCAAGAGTGGGGGAGCAGCAAAGAGGCGGTTGCAACGGGGGCTCATGGAGTCTGCGTCTGGGCAGCGCTCGGCGTCTCCTCGATTTTTGAACGCGGAGGCCAATGTGCGCGTTCTCGATGTCGACGAAGGACATGAGATCGGCAGATCCCGGGGAATGCATGTCGCTCGAGCTGGCGCTGTCGCCGTCGCTGAGTGGGGTGCTCTTCGGCTCCAGCTGCTCGCCCTCCTACTCCAGGGCCTGGAACGTGATCTGGCTCTGCGTGGCCTGCAAGCACAGCCGCGCGCTCAAGGCCGCCCTGCGCGGCGCCAGGGCCAGCTGCATCATTCTTCCCCTGGGGCCTCTCAATTCCGCCTTCTTCCTCTCCAAGAAGCAGCAGAGTCCGCGAGGCAGCAAGATCGTCAAGATGCTCCTCTTGAGTTCGAGACGGCCCCGCGTTTCAGACTGACTGGCACGTGATGAGACAGTCCTTCCGCTCACTGGTTCGATTCGGCGGGAGCTAAATTCGGAGATTGGCAACGAGTCCCACTTCGCGGCACCATGCATTCGGTAAACGTCACAACGATTCGGAGGATGCAATCCATCGAGGGCAATCCGGGGAATCGGTGGATCAGGCACAGCAAATTTGTCCAGCAGCAGAAGGATCTAGTGTAGTGTGGCAGAGGTAGCCCAAATGCCAGGCATAAGGTTGTAACCAAGCAACTTTAGCGAACATTTCTACTGCCACTCACAATCGAGCCCAAACATCATGACGTGCACAGACTGTGAGCAGACGATGGGGCCCAAGAAAATGGTCGCCGATTCGCAGCAGGAGCAGCAGGATGTTAACATTCCAGGGCCGAGGGGCAAGAGGACCCCTGAGAAGCAGAGGGCCCCGTTCTCTCAGAGTCCCAAGATCGCCAACAAGGCTCAAGCTCGCAGGCCCCAAGGCCGCGACGAACGCTCTCCATGGAAGTGACAGCGTTCTTCAGCTCCAACCGAAGTCCGCGTGCAGGATACGGGACTCCCATTAGGTAGACCAGCACGAGCGCAGTTCTTTTTTACGGAGTTTTCCCAGAAATTGATAGATTCTGTCCAACATGCAAATCAAATCCGCCTCCAACAAACACCTCAGTCACATTCAGTGCGACAGCTCTGCAGTTGTCGGGAGGGTTTATCGAAGATCCGGGCCGCCCTTAGGAGACCAGCAATACAGTAGTGGCGATTCGACTATTTTGACGGATGTACGCTTAAGATATTTCTGCTGATTCGAGTCCGAATCAGGAGCCAAGTCACATCAATTTTCTTCTGAATTTCTCTCACCACTTTCTTGAATTGAGGTCACGATGTCTCTTTTGACATGGGACTGAATGTGGTTACGAAAGTCGTGGACATAGATTGAATCGGCCATAAGCATTCATCAGAGTGAAAGATTAATCATAGAGTTCGAGGATGAACTCCACTCCTAGACACCTCAAAGGTCCTCAGCACAGAGAAGAAAGAGAGATCTACTTCCGATCCCCTAAGCTCCAAAAAGCTCGTTTCGTGAAATTGTGACGCAGGAACCATCGAGAGTCAGGTTGCCCATGCTCCAGACAAAAGCATCTGTTTCTGATTCTGAAGCATATTCATTATGAAAGTTCCGGGACTTGGTCAGTAAATCTCTCTCAGAGTGCAAGAAACTGCGAATGCGCTACGTATAGGGGGGAACCGTATATTCATTCCTGATTCGAATTTCCACTTGAGAACAGGGCATTGAGTGGGTGGAGGAGCCACAAAGTAGAGTGAATGAATGATGATCACATGACGTTTCATCACTCAAGCTCAACAGAAGCTGAGAAAACCATATAGATTCCAGCTAAGATCCTCGAAGATGCCTCTGGTCGAAATTGAACAAAGTATAAAGGTCTCGCATATGCTCGACTTGGAAGTGCCAACGACCGGTAGCAGACAAAGAGGGACGAAAACCATGTGAATATATGTGTGAATATGTGGATGCTGATTCCGAATCCTTCTAATCTTGCAGGATCGGCTGGGCAGAGTAGGACAAGCAGATGTTTCAGAGCAGAACTTTTGTGATAAGGGATGCACATTCATCCGTTCTCTGCAACCACGGCATCGAAGCACTATCTGAAGTTCGGTGAGATGACGTTAGCTTCTAGCGAGCAAGACGCTACTCGATCGTTCATGTCCCCTATGTGTCAGAACGAACCTTCAGCTGTCTACAGAGGTTATGTTGTAAGTACGATAGAATGGATTCTTATCTCACTGAAGCTTCCAGCTCACTTCAGTGAGAGTGAACGGCTGTTTGTTTTGTTCACCTGCTTGAGACAGGTCACTTGTGTAGCGCTTCGCCTCTCATCACAGTCGGGATAAATTTGCATTTTGAAGTTTAGTGCAGATCGAAAACCCGTGACATTTGACATTTGACCTTTGACCTTAGAGACTGGTCTATTGGAGGGGTACTACTTGATGGGCAGGCCCCATCGAGAAATACACGAAAGGAACCAAACGGGTAGGATCGGGTTAGTCCCCACTAGAGAGTATCGTGACGGGAATTACGTCCCAGTACAGATGATATATCCTGACTATGTACATCACACTGTCTACCCACAACACAAGCATTTGGACAAACCCTAAACGAGCTGGACGTGTCTCCTCATTATTACACCAAAAAGGTGTCCTATGTAGAGCCATGGCTACGAACTCTGACTAATAATGTATTGAATACACTGAAGAACGAGATATAGATGTTTGGTTTTTGTTGAACGAATCATATATTTCTTACAATTTTTCTGCGATTCTTCTATTTCTTTCTATTCTTAGATGACTCTTGACAAGAGGGAATTACTTGTTACAATCGACTCATAATACCTCCAAAAAAAGATCTTTGAAGAGCGATGTATGATAGTCACATACCTTAACGTATTATTAAAATGCTAGTAGGGTCTGAGGAGTTTACATTATTGCACCAACACAAAATAGTGGTCCAGATGTATTCTATGTACACGATCGTCTTACTAAGTTATTTGCATGTGGCGTTTGATTTAATCTCTTTTGATATTGCTTGCTGACCCACTGGTTCTGAGCTGTATTCTTATCTAATTATTTATTGATCTAGTCTTAAAAACTATGGATTAATGACATATTTTTTTTACTTACGACAGAGAGAGTGAACAATAACCTATTACATTTTGGTAATAAGTAATAAAAATAATTAAATAAAATTTATTTGTATTTTATTTTCGATTATATATATACATACATCAATTACTCCCTAACAAACATTACATTGCACTCACCAAGGCTCCATGCTACCACGTTATTTCATCAACGTACCAGTAAATAGGTCTTCAGTATTCTTTATCCTTTGTATTCATGTCCCTAATCTGAAGTCTGGAAGAACACAACGAGCGTGGCAGGAAGGGCACAAGTTCATGAACGTGCGAAGTCGCTGCCTTTCATGGAGGTCGTTGGTGCTTCATACGGTTCTATCCTCTCTTGTATAACGTTCCACCTGCCTCCACAGGCACTTTCCATTCTCATCCCCTACGTCGTTTGTCTGTTGTAGAGGATCGATGACATGCGACAAGGAAAGGAGTAGGGGGAATTGCTCCTGTCCTGAAATGGAGACTGTGATTGTTTTAATCCTCCATGGAAAGGTTATTTCGAAGATAAGAAAAATAAGGAAGCAAAGAATAATGATTCCTTTCTGATTCAGATTCTTCTGTGGAAGATCAAAAGCTTGAACTCCACTTCCGATTCCAGCCCGTAGAGAAGGCGAGAGGCAGGCTTTGTTTTATCGTAAATATATACATGGCTTGCGCGACTGCGGCGTATCATATAAAGCAGGACCAGTTCAGGTTTTGAGCCCGTAATCCATTGGTGTCTAAAGATTACAGAAAGAGCTAAAGATTGAAGATTCTTCCTTATCACCAAGGTTCAGGTCTTCTGTCCCCTAGCACGACCGAGTGATGACAAAGAACCTCGATTTGAGTACCGGAGGTTTCATGAATGTCCAGACTTGAGAACTAAGAAATCAGAAGAGCTTGACTTTGTCCGGAGCTCTATTTTGCCCGCTTTCATACTCTTGAGGACACCCTTTGATAGGATATAATAGGATGCTTCGCCGGAATTTTCTAGTACGCGGGAGGCAAAGTAAAGAGCAGAAAGGATGGGAGCAATAGTTTGCTCCCATAGTTTTCTAGAGCTTTCAGGTTGTAGTCCAGTCACCACACCGTTTGTAAGTCAGCATTCAAGGTCCTACTGGAGGTTTGAGAATTTCAGCAGATTCATGTTGAACCGATGTGGAAAAAGTTACTCCCCTATATTTGTGCAGCCATTAAGCCGTAGGAGGAGGCAACATGAACTCGACTTCTCTCTCGCCTTTGACTTCTTACTGTGCGTAGGGGAGCTAATATGGAATCTATGTCAAGGAATACTTCAGTGAAGGTTGTGATTTGTGTTGAGCTAAGATTTTACTTTTGATCGGTCGACTTCGTTCTGCCCTAACTGTAGTAAACGCAGATAAGTCATCTACTGAACTCTGCCATATCTATCTGGAAAGAAGATTCTTCTGGACATTCTCTGCAAGTGGAAGAATATACTTTTGAAAGAAGCGGTCAAGGATTCAGTAATCCTTACGGTCACAAGGAACAAAACCACATAAGAAATTGCGCGAGCTACGTACAGTACAGTATTGCATTTTGAAAGCGAGGCAGTTTTGTAAATCGGAGAGATGATGATATTTTGCCCGCTAATGTGTTGGCATCCTTTGATCTGAAAATGTATGAAGTGGTGCCAGAACCACCCCCGGCCACACCAACTCGTTCGAGGCACCACCAGACTCCTAAGCCGAAAGGTGGCAGCTCTAGAAGAGTGTCCGAAGGAAAGAAAGATCTCCATCCGAACGTGACACGTTCGAACCTTAAGCACAACTCAATATCTGATCGAAGCTGAAAACTCTGCTGCATACTGAAATGATGCGAACAAGGTGATCTCGGTAGCACGAACACGTGACGGCGAACGATCGATCGATGCAACTCAAGGCGCTGGCTGTCTTCACGTGCCCCTTGATCTCGAAGCACCCGTCTGAGAGTAGGATTGGAGGCACAACAAAATTTGTTGAGTCATGCCCATTCCCCCTTTCAGAGTCAAAAGGCACGCCCGTATTAAAGTATTAAAATATGTACGTTGACGTCTCAAAATTGTACTTCCGTCAAAATACATCACACTTGGAAGTAGAGCGGCTGATAAACTCGGGAAGGATAAATTTGTGTGTACATACGAGCATGCCCTCGTATGTACACACAAATTTGCCTAATTCGCATTCTTTCATATACAGGCTATATATGAAAGAATGCGAATTAGGCATGCCCTTTGAGGTTGTGCCTCCAACCGTAGTCGAGAGCTTCCGTAGACAGAGTGTCCACTACAGAACGTCTGAAATCATTACTCCAACAAACTGGAAGCTTGTACGCCACGGCCACGTGGAAGAGGCCCGGCGCCTACATGTCACCCCGTGGTGGGTGCTGCACGGTGACCAGTCACGACCACATCAGCCTCCCCGGGCCAAATGTAGCCCTCCCATTCCTCAAGAGATGAGCCAGTTTCCAGCACCTCCCGTCTCCAGATCCCTGCAAACCTTGCTCGCCATCGGACCACAGAATCGCCCCAAATTTAGTCCCTGCCTGCCTCGGAATAATGCCAAGCGGACGCAGTCGAATGTGCTCCAAGATATCCCTGACGTGGTTCGCCTCCCTTGAGGCGTCGCGCCCGGTGCAGGTCCCTACGACCGACATCTGTTGGAAACTGCTGCTGCGGTCCCCTGTAGGGTCGGGATAGGGTGCCTAGACCTTTTAGAAAAGCAGGCCAGGACGGAAGAGAGTGGCGGAGGAATGTATAAGAGCCGAAGCTCGGAGAAGGTGCAGGTCCGCCTGTTTGAACTGAAGAAACTGCTGCATCGCGGTGTATATACAGTCATTCAGTCAATGTAGCAAGCAATCTGTACAGTGAGATTTGTGTGACACGACACGTAACTGCGCACTTTCTGTGGAGAAAAGCCGTTGCAGGTCTGGAATTCGTGTGCGCGGGTTGCGAGCAAGCGAATTCGTGTGTGTGTGTGAGCTGCTGCTGCTGTTGTTCTAGTCCGAGTCAAGCGCTGACATAAGAATCCAGGTTTTCCGAATTTTTGGATCGGATCCTGTTGCTTGGGAAGGTTCTGCTCTGCGCAGTGCTAGAAAAGCCTGGCACGGTAAATTCAATTCTCTTCTCCTCCCTCTCCCTCGCTCCTCTCCTCCTCCTCCTCCTCCTCCTTCATCGTTTTGGTGTAGTCGCTCTGTTGCAGCTAGCCCTGCATCAGTCGGTTTCTCCGAGTAGAGAGAGTTCAGAGAGAGAGAGCTTTCTAGATGTGAGTTCCTATTGCAGTCAGTGGCCGAGAGAGCGAGAGTGTGGGCACAGGAGGATGAGCCTTCTTCGAGCTCGTATGGATTTCAGCCCATCTGCTCTTCCAGTTATGTTTGGATCTGACAGCTTTCAATCGCGGAAGCTCTCACTGGCCGGATTGCTCACCTCCTTCACTCGAAACATATCAGTCGAACTGCTCTGTGCATCCTCACACTGAGATTCCATAAATCAACTAGTTAGTCACTCATATCTGCTGGCAGCAGACCGAGAGCTCGAAGTGTCTGTTGGAGGGACTCCAATTCTTAGGGACTCGCTTGTGGCTTTGCAGATTCGGGGAAGGCAAGGCGAGGCGAGGCGAGGAAAGGAAAGACGATCGATCGATCGATCGCGGCGCGAGAAGATGAATTGCGTGGAGACGTACTTGGATGAGTCGGCGTCGCAGATGTTGAGCAGGAGGGTGAGGCGAATGGGGCGGAGGAAGAGGCACGACCGCGTGCCGCTGGAGTCGTCGCAGGCGGGCTTCGCAGTGCGCATGCACCGCAAGCTGAAGGTGGCCAATTTGGGCTTCCGGCACGTGAAGCGGGGCTCGCAGGTGTCGACGCTGGAAGATGGCGCCGACCCTGCCCTCTGGGGCAAGATGCGCGAGGCGTACGTGGCCGTCACGGCCGACGCTCTGGAAGCTCTGGATATGGACTCGAGCCTGGTGCCCGCGCCGAAGAAGGTCCGATCGCTCGGCAAAGCCGTCGAGGTCGTGGACCCCGAGCCCGACATTGGCATCACTCTGAGCCTGCTGGAAATGTCTTACATGGATCATCTGAAGCACGCTTTCGAAGGCCGATACGCGTGAGGTCGATCCCTGCCTCGATTATATTCTCAGGCACGCACGACCCACTGCACACACGAAGGTGCTACTGCACAATATTGGTCGCGAGGCCTTCTCGAGATGAACATTTACAATCTCTTCTCGTTGCTTCGATATCGGAGCAGGGCACGAGGCAAGCAGCGATTGTTTTCCGTGTACGTAGATAGAAGGAAGGAAGAGTCTCAACGCCTCGACGTTGCTCCCACTTCCACTGGCAGCTAATTTTGAGACGCGACGGGATCACGAGATCGAGTGTTGCAATGCCGGAGATTTGCAGCTTCGGACGATCGAAGCGGACTCGAAGGATCTGACAAGGAGGTCGAGGGGGTCGTCGAAAGCGGAGACTCTTGTGTACAAATCCCTGCGAGCTATTCGGATGCTTCAGTCGAGTGGGCTCGACAGCTCTTATCACTGCACGCACGCACGCGCACGGCCACACGCTGAGCTCTGATCCCTGTAATTGAGCCGAAGGAGATCTAGGATTGCTGTTATGATACTGTGAAATGGATCGATACTTTTGTGTATAGGTTGCTGATAGGCAGGGCAGATGTCTTGGGTGGCGATCCGATCAGTCATACCCGGCCAGTCATGTACATACTTACATACTCAACATGTTACATGTAAAATCTTCCAGCAATTCGGTTCGCGATTCGACGGCACGCTCGAAGAAGATTTGGGAGAAGAACTGGCCCCGACCATCTAGAAACAGCGACTGATCTGTGTAGGTCACATCCATATCCACAGAGCCTCTCCTCTTGTAATTCCTGGCGGCGCCCTGTTTTTCCGAGTAAAGCTCATCGCCACGATTTACCTCCTCTGTAATACTTTTACTTCCATAGCGTATTATAACTGTGAACTCCTTCGTCTTCGTTTTCGCCTTTCTGCTCCCTTTGCTTTGTATGCAATTTCCGGTCCCGTCTTGTATATTTGGCCGTAGGCGTATATTCGGCTGGCGGCGGTCTTTTTTCGCTCCTTTTCGGCCTGTCTCTCCATAGCCGTCCGACCCAACATCCAAAAGTTTCCTGCTCCGAAGGGATTGTACGTTGTAAACGTGCGTTGGTTCGACCATGGACGTGGCCGTGATATCTTCTGGCATGATGATCACGTGGTTGTGGCCAGAAGCGCAGATATCATGATGACTGCTAGTTTAAGTGAGTATTAAATTCTGCTCATAGTTCACAGCTCCGGCAAATTGTGTCGTACACGTTCAATTTTTCGACTGAATGACTAGTGGAAGATGCTGCAGAAATTCGACGCAGCCGTCGCGTACCTCACCGCAAAATTGTTTCGTTCGCACGATAAAAATCTTAAAAGCATATGTAAACCCGTGCTGCTAGCGACCAGTCACCACCGAACCAAATTTCTCATAGTTTTAACCAATCATTTTTCTGTCGTGTGATAATTAGAGAAAGATATAACGAATATGGCGGGGCCAAAACTTAAATATGTAAGCCCTGAAGGTAAATGATGTAATCTGAATTCTTGAATCGAAAGTGGAGCAAAGGTAAAACCACTAAGTTTTCCAAATACTCGTCACAATAGATTAACTGTAAAATTAAATTAAAGATCATGTCTATATCTACCTCTCTGAAACACTTGCCTGAAAACAAAAGACCACCATGTATATTCCATCGAACATAGTACGATTGTGCCCACCATAAACATGTGCGATAAAACTTATCAAGCCTCGAAAACCATCGAGCGCACTGTAGAAAGAACCTTGTTCTCCTGGTGGAGAGAGAACTTGTAATCAAACAGATCGTGTAACCGTGGAAGATTTACATTTCTGTTGCCGAGAATGGAAATCGTCACAGAAACCTCTCTTCTCCATGACACTATCTGAACCTACTTTCCAAGTGCCAGAATGTAGTCCCTTTTTTGCTCTTTCATCCAGTTTTCTCTTCGACTGCGCCTGACATTTCTGCGGCCATGAAGATGAAATAAAAACGAAATTCTTCCTTTTCCCAGGCACACTTCAATCGACGTAAGATGCAGATTGAATGGATTGTGATAGCATGAAGCAAATTCGGCCAACACATCCATCCAAAATGCATATACACATCTGCGACGGTCACACGAGACGAACGTGACATGACAGAGTCTGGAGTCTTTCCAAGAAGAATCTCAATTGGCTTCCAGGCATGTGCATATGCACGCTCGCAGTAACCCAGTGCACCGAGCCCTGCTCGTATTTGTGCATTGACTCAAAACTGATTGTTAGCACGTTATCCTGAACGTCCAGCGAGCCGGTTCGAACTTGGAAACGAAGTCGACCTTTTCTTCCGACACAACTCGAACACAGAGCCACAGAGTGGAAAGCGAAGAAAGTGAATTGCCAGTAATATTCAACCATTGCGAATGTAACTCCGACATCGAGGATCTTCAAGTGAGTAGAAGCACGATTACAGAGACTCAGAGAGAGCTAAACGCAGCGAGGGCCATTCTCTTCGCTTGTACATCGGAACACGAAGGATCGCGTGGTGTAAGTATAGATGTTGGGTGACTTTGTATTGAAATGGAACAGTTGGACGAATCCAATGTACTTTTTACATAGTGCAATTTGCACTCTCTGTCGGTGGCACATCTTTACAATCTAGATTCTAATGGCTAGATAATGTGTTGACTAGCGCAAAACTGGCACGGAGTTCGGCGAACTGAACTTCTGCACCGACGATGCTTGGATCTAGTCAGGGACCATTTATTCCTATCAGACATTAACTCAGTCTGCTCCTAACAAGTATACAAAGAAGCTGAACTCCTGGTGGGAGTCCATCCTCGGCCAATGTGGGTGGAGGGTAGAGAGCGGGCGTACGAGCAGAAGGAGAAACAGCTACATGTCCGTATATTCACTCGGTCGATAGGCCATGGAACTTTCAAAAATGGGAATCCTCGCTGATGGACGTTAAACCTGCTTATCTTTCTGCCCGCACGAAATTCTTTACCGCTGCAAGTATGCAGAAGACCTTCGATCTCCAGAAGGAAGGAAAGGGAGGAAGATTTCACGAACAGTTGATTGTACGTAAAAATGTGTAAGCAAACGAAACGAAATGATTCCTGGATGAGGAACGGAGTCGACATCCATGGGAGTTTGCTCCTGTCACAGAAGGACGGAGGAACGCACAGAAAGGCACCAGGAGAGTTAGTTACAGAACGCGGCCTCCAGGACGAGTAAAAGAGAATTCCACCAGAAAAAGAACTTCGGTGCAGACGAACGAACCAACGACCGACCGACCCAGCTTCTCAGAATCGACTGACTGACTGACTGCCCTCGCGTGTGCACGAAAGGGACACACCCAACAGTAGAGAGGAGGCGATCGATTGCTGTATGTACGTATGTTCAGGACTCACAAGCTCCTCGAAGAATACTGCTTCGTGACATTTCTGGCTAACTCATCTCTGTGGGTTTCCGTGACTCGCAACACTGCGTTGGGCAAAATCTTCTTCTGTCTCCGGAATGCATGCAAGTTCGATGCCCCGCCTCAACCGTCGGCTTTACTTGAAGAGCAATGGACACCGTGGAACTTTATCACCGTGATCAGTGTGTGTACATGTCCGGATCTACATCATATTACAGGCCTGGCCTTCCTCCTCCTGCTGCTCCTGGATCCCATCAATTATGCGTCGTCCGTCGACCAATGCCAGACCCTGCAAGTCGTACACTGGTGAGGCCAGGCTTCAAGAAGGCACGACTTGCTCGAGCTTGCTCTCGAGTCAGAACCTTCCCTTCTTTTTCTTCTTCTTCACTTTCTATGTCTTCGGTTGGCCTATTCGTCCTCCCGATGAGCCATCGAGAGGAGCTTTAGCTTTTCATCAGAATTCATAATGTCAAAACGATTTGTGTGCTACACGTGCACAGGGTTGGAGACCAACGAAATTTGTGTAGTGCTTATGGCGAACCCAATTCCGTTTCGCGCCGGGGGCGAGAAGGCGAAAATGAATCCGATCACCAGAGCCACGAGAATGGGAACGCTCCGCTTGAGGTTCGGCGACAGCGAGCCGTAGAAGCACTCGGCTACATTGTCCGACAGCAGAGTCAGCGTCATGAACACGGCCACGGCCAGAGTCGCATTCACGAAGTCCTGGCGCTTGATCTCGTACTTGCCACCGCCGCCGAAGTAGGTCGAGCCGGCCACATCCGCCAGGCCGCTGTCCTCCAAGGTCGGATTCCACAGGCCCTTCACCGTCACGATGCCGTAGTAGAGCCTGCCATCCTCGGCCACATAGCTGTCGGTGAAGGCCAGCAGAGCGCAGAAGCACGCGAAGATGCAGAGCGTGAACGAGGTGAGCGCCTTCTCCATGCCTCCGCACGTTCCATCGTTCGTCGTCAGCGGGGACAAAATCTGGAACATCAGATACGTGCCCGTCGGCAGCAGGTTCATGACATTGCTCAGCATGTCGGGAGTCGTCATGAATGAGTGGAGCTCCCTTAGGCTCCTAAACTGCATTACAAACGCAGATCTGTTCTAGTGGCCACGCAGGCCCTCTCGCGTTCGTTCCTTCTTCCGATCCTTCCTTCCTTCCTTCAGCGCAGCGCAAGCAAGATCCGCGGCCCCGCAATTCCGAAGGAGAGCAGACACAGCCGTCTGCTCAGCTCTTCGACCTGCAGATGTTAGGAGAACGGTATTCGCATCCAGTTAGAGTAATTATTATGTGTTCGGGTTGACATTCGACGTCGCCCCAGTAAAGTTTCAAATTACGGTCCAAGCCAATCGACGACGGAGTGATTGAATGAATGAATGAATGAATGAATTATCGAGGCGACGAAGCCCCGAGTCGAAACTACTTTCTATGTCGGTGGGTCTGTCTGAATCTACACGGCTAAATCTACCTAAGGCTGCAACGCAGCACTGTGAGTGAGAATTCAACGAATAGAGTGAGGACGCAGTGAGCCGATCGCCCGACTGCTCGATGAATGTCTAAAGCTAGAATCTAGAGTCGGAAGCTAGAGTCTGGTGAGGGGTGGGGTACGTAAGTGGGGCTATGAGAGGATTAATGGCGGGGGGAGATGGGAGTTCACGTCACAACGGGGAGGCAGGACAAAGAGCTCGGCAACGAGTTTAAAAATTCGCCTGGACTCTGTCTGATCTTGGGGCCTGGCCTGCGCGCAGGGCACGGCACGGGCCCGAGCGATGCGGTTCGAGCTCTCGTTCCGCAGGGCCCATGGTCAGCCCCCGCCCGCGCGCCCGCGCTCCAGGAGGTGGCGAGGACGTGAGCTCGGGCGCTGTCTACCGCTTTCGGGGTGACAGTCTTCAAATCAGCCGCCGTCCGCCGCTGCCGCTGCGCCTGGAGCCCGAGGAGCCTGGCGGAACAGCGCACATCTGCAGGCATGATGGCTCTCGTTCTGGCTCGCGCTCGGCAGCAGGTCCAGCAGAAATTGTCGACGCGGCCGCACGCAAGCCCGCCCGCAATTCCTGTCGTTGGCCGACGCTGGCGTCTGCTGCCTCGATGGAATCTGCTGCGGCACAGTTTTCTTTTCCTCGCACTATCCTCTTCGGTTGCAGCAGTTGTGTGCGCGAATTCGGCCTCGGTGTGGACTTCAGGCTGCAAGATTCGCTCCTGGCTCTCCCAGGTCCTACCATCCTTCCATCCGTCCCGTCCGATGGCCCTTGAGGAAGTTTTGGACTAACGATCAGTTGCATATGTTTTTGGGTCGATCATTGTTGTTTGCCCAAGACTTTCTCGCCCCCGGGAATTGCGTCCAGTTGATTCATTTCGCGGATTGCGTTTCCGCCGAACGCTCTGGACCACCAGAATGAGCTGTGCAGGGAAATTGCTCTCTGATAATGGAAGATCTCGGACCTCGCTCGACTGCTCGTCGAACGTACGTAACGTACGTCTGATAGCTTGCATTCGGGTGCTGCACTGCTCAGTTCTGATTTTCTTCTTATTCCCTGTTCGGCTCTGTTGTTCTACCACGGGGCTATAGGCTGACAACTGATTTCTACAGACGCTACAGAAAGCTCACACTCACATAAACGCACACGGTTCCTTATGATGAGTGCTATAAAGTTTGTCTGTTCATTCTGCACATGTTTTTTATTGGATAGGGATGATTCGTCGTCGTGGAGGGATCATGGGTCAACGTGTCCACTTCCTTCCCTTGAAATGCTCTCTACATGACACTCTGTACACCTCAGATCTCGCATAGCGCAGTTTTAACTGGGCTTCGTCACGTGAAATTGCCAGGTCTGATTCTCGTTCTCATTTCGCTATAGCGGCAGCTCTCCTGGCTTGCAAAGTTGCTTAGCTCTAGCTGTTGTTGTAGCTCGCTCTGTCAAAGTGGCTTGTTTGACATTGCATATTCCCTACAAAAATGGTGGAGGTGCTTCAGCTGGTTTAGTCGACCTGCCAAACGTTCACGTTACTTCTGCTACGTTTGTCGACCATTTCTGATCATGGCTAACTTTCTGTAAGGTCAACCTGTTGTATTGACGACGAACTTGCACAACACTCTCGCCCGTTTATTCATGCACCAATATATGAGCCGAATCGTATCGAGAGGCGTGCCCTGGATATGATCTCGAATGTCAGGGAGGAGCTCGAAGATGGTAACGCAACCAATTAAATATATCAGAAAGGCTGGGAAGACCTAATAAAGTCGTACATGGATGAAGTCAAAAGGCTGAGATGGGGCTGGGCCACAACCTCCAAGTCACTTCACACATGACACCTGACCATGACAAATAGGAGGAACTGATATCCCGCTCCTGCTGGAGCTTCTGTGCCCGAGCAAACTCAACTAGATTCGGGACGATGAGAGTGGATTTACGCATTGACACTTGTTTGTAAACTCAGCTTCAAATTTACGTGCCTACGATTTTGTTTCCCAAGAAATTCGTGCAGCAGAGGATCCAGAATTTGAAACTTTTTATACAAAAATTTTTTAATTAAATGAAGGTATTAGAGCTTGGATGGCAGCTCAAGATCAGCCTCATGAAAATCGTGTATTCCCAGATGAGGTTCTGCCACGTGGAAACCTTCGGAACATCCTTCAATTCCTCTTGAGCTCAAAATCGATCCTTCATCACTCGATGACTTTGTGCTCAAGATGAATTTGTCTCCAAGATGTGCGAAGTCGAATAGGAGCCAAAAACATGACATATGGGCAACATGAGAATCAGTGTGCACGGCCCCACTCATGCAATTTACGTCTGTGGTATTCTTCCGATTCAATAAATTATGGAAGAATATGAATAAATAAATTATGCATGAACTTCATTGCATGTTATCTTTAACACCTTCAGGCATAATTTATTTTTTTAAATACATTTAATCTCGTATATATTTTCAACGTTGCACGATCAAAATGGTTTTACATTGTATTGCTTCAATGGTTTGCACCCTTTTCATTGATAACCTCTCGTCTTTTACATGAATTCTCACTCTTTCTTATTCATTTTCAATTTTTTTCTTTGATTATGTCTATGATTTTCGGACTTTTTATTTGGGACGGTAAACTTTCTACAAAATGTCTTTCCTCACTTCTTTATATGATTCCCATTCTTCTTATTATCTTCGTGTTCAGATATTCAATTCTTATGGTTTCGTCGAATTCTGCAGAGTTTCTAATCGAGTACCATGCACTCTCACCTAAGATTCCTCCAGAATTTTACTAGTTTTCTCTAGCCACCAAAGTATCCGAATAGGTAATCGAAAGGTTAGAACGCTACCTGCACAAAATTGGGATATGTGATTTTGCGTAATTCACAAATTAGAAATGATACGAAAAGACACATATTGTAGATTTCGAACTTATTAAGTCATCTTAAAGAAAGTGAAAAATTCTTTTTTATGAACTATTTGTGTATCCACCGCCAATTTCTCAGATCTATGGCAACTGTCAGAAAATTTCAAATCAGGACAAGCGAAAATTCAAACGAGTAAACATAATTAAATGACATCTGTCCACGAATGTATACAATGATTAAGCTGCACACATTAAGTGTGCCTTCCAATTATCAACTTGGTTTTCCAACCCAATTATTTTAAGTGTTTGGCCAGATTGTTTATGCTAAAGGACTGCGTATTTTAAAATTATTCGTTTCATAGTTGATTCAATTTTGAATAAATCCGTCTATTTTTATCCTAGAAGCGTGAAATCTATATTTTTAACCTATATCTATGATTTTTTATTCATCAGAATTTTTCCAATCATTTGTGGTGCTTTCTTTTTTCACATTTGATAGTAATCATAATATTTAATCCGATCCTTTTTTGAAAGTCATATTCTTGATGTCGGAATTGTATGAAATATAGAATTTTGAAATTTGGTTTTTGATCATGATTATAAAATACATTATTTTTTATTTTATAAATCATTTGAGTACACAATTTATGCGGTAGGATGAACCTAAGTTCTTCAGTGAAAACCAAATCTGATGCATGTCCTGAAAATCGGACAGTGGGTAATAGGCGTTCTCAACGGAGGTGCAGCAGGTCCATTCTGATATGCTCATTACTCGTAAAAAGTATAACCATTTCGATTTCACATCTCGAAGGTTAGGTAGTTATTTATCATCAAATGGGGTCTTTAAGGTTCGAGGGACTGCGTCTTCAAAAGCCGGGTTCCAACCAACTCCCACCCCAGAACCGCAGTTTAGAGCGGGGCTGGACCAGTGCCAGATTTCTATGATCAGTTTCTGATAGAATGAGATACACGATGTCCATGATCTGTGATGGAACTTCTCGAGTACATATATTTCTATTGTATCTGCAGTCCGGTTTCAATGCCACCTTATGCGGATCAATGATTCCCAACATCGGTGTATTTGGATATGTATAAGACTTGCGCTGCATTCCAGATATTCTGCACGTACACTTCGTTCGGCGCCCTCATAACTACTCAATCCCGCTTTGGTATCGTCGGTGATCTTCCGAGGAACAGCCGAAGAGAAAGGTAATTACTTGCAGCCTGTCCCGGAGACCAATGTCGAAGATGTTTCATCCACGGCTTGTACCTCCGGCCATCGGCAGATATTATTAATTGCATGGCAACGACGAGCATCATATATTGAAGATACATGTTACGGGAAGTTTCATTCTTTCCTGATCTCCAATTAGAAGAATCAGATCTACTTTGTCATTTTCATTACTTATATCGCTCCATTGGTGATTGTAATCACTTCATTAGTGATTCATTCATTCATTGTAGTACTTTATTGGTGATTGTTTTTCGTGATTACTCTCTCTTCTTCCATGACATGCGAGTTTTTCTTGATGATTCCTCAAGCTCTTTTGAAGAACTTAGAGCCGTGATGTCCAAGTATGAAACTATTAGTGGTGCTAGATTTAATCTAATCAAATTTTGTATTCTTTTGCTCCGGGTGGAGAAACCTCTTGACTGGATAGCGCTTGTTGGTTGCAAACTGATGGAACGTAGTACCGCACACAAATATCTTGATGCATCTATTGGGATGGAAATGACCTCTAATCACCGTAATGATTTTTGCATGGAAAAGGTGGCCAAGTCGATAAGTGGTTGGGATTTTTCGTTCCTCTCCTTAGAATCACGTTATGACTCTACTACATCATGTGCTATAGGCATAATCCACTTTTTAATCATCTTTTATGCGCAAAAATATTGAAAAGTAAACATATAGTTTTTATGAGAATATAACAAGAAGAGTTTGCAAAAATTGGTCTTGTCAAATGGAAGTTTATTTGTAGCCCAACTGACAAAAGAGGTTTGGAAATCAGACGATTAGTTGATTATAATACTTCTCTCGTGGCCAAATGCTTAGGAGCAATTATTGATGATGCTGCTAGCATATAGAGAGAAGCGATTGATGCTATTGCTAAGATAAGTCGGCAAAGATATGGTAAAAATATTATTAGACGCAAGTGTAGCTTGCCTTACTATAACACTAGGGTTTAGAAAAAAGCTCACTTGAATATAGAAGCATAAACTTTGAAAATGAGATATATCACCAGTGATTCTTCTTTCCCTTATAACGCTTTTGCCAACAAGTACAAGGAGGTAATATTTAATCCTCATCATCCATCCCATTCCTAGTGGATGATGACCCTAACAAGCACACAGATTGCA